CCATTAAGCTGTTTATTGGTTCAGTCCACCTGCAAACTTACATCCAGATCTAAAGCGACAGCTAATTCGCAGCCAGATCTACGGTGACACAGCAGTGATGTGCTCTGCAAGGGCACAATCACCAAGGCGATGACAATTGACGGAAGGCTTTATAATGACGACTGATAGAACTACGGTGATAACGCTGGTGACCGATGACCATGACGACGAGAATAATGGCGACTCGCGGATTTCCGAAGGTCAATAAATGACAACAAGCGATGGACACCGATTCGTAATCGTCCTTTTATCGATGATTGATGAGGATTAAGTGAGCGATGTTGGGGTGGGGAGGCTTTGTACACAAGATGTACATGGCAGGCACAAACATCGGCCTTTGTACCCTACTCCATAACGCTGACAAACGTGTGTGTCAACAAGTCGACATCTACTCAGAAGCAATATAATTTAAACTGTAAATGAGCGATGAAACTCAATACATTCATCAATATCAGCATGTGGTCTTAAAACAAGAAAATATTAGAACAGGCGACATTTCGGCCAATGGATCTTCATGGCACACAAAAGAAGGGCTATTGCATAAACGTCGCCTATTTTATAATTTTCTTAAGAACTCCTTTTGATGTTCAGTTTGTTGTTCTTCCCCCGCACCTCTGATGAGCGCGGTTAGCTACGAACGGTGCGAAAGAAGTTCAACATGCGTACATACATTGTGCAACCACTACCAACGAAGGAACAGAATTAGCGAATAACTTATCTACGTGAGCGCGGGTTAGAGCCGGAACCTCAAACAAGCATAGAGGCACAGCGAGATGGGTATCACAAGTCTATGCCGTGATGTAATGCTGCATATACAGCAGTCCATGTTTATATCTCGTACACATTACCCAGATATGACTCAAGGGCATGCAGAGATGCGTGTTGCTCATTCAAGTTATTTTTATACAGACTCTCATCACAATTTCTAGTGCAACAATTTTACACGAGCAGACTTTCAATTCATTTACTCGTTTATATGGTTGCAGAGTAGAGGGCCCGCATGACCAAAATGCCAAGCGGCTGGCAACAAATGGCGCTGCCGGCGGTATAACGCGTAAAATTGAATATGCTGATTGAATTGAGCGAAGTTATTGTCGTTATTATAAGAACTTGGGAAAAGAGACAATGGGAGGGAATTCCAAAACGGAGCGAGACATGTAGCAGGAAGTGTTGTGACCTGCAGTGTGGGGCGCCATGGTGGCGAGATGTTAACTACCTCACCTGGTACAGAGGTCATGGGCCTGATCCCGACCCTGAAGCCTTTACATATTTGGAGTTTACATCTTCTCGCCGTGGTCAAGTGTTTTTTTCTCCAGGTCCTCCGGTTTTTCCCTCCACATTTAGAATCAACATGCATTTAGGGTATTGGGCTGCTATATTATTTCCGCGCGATAAGCCACTTCGTAGAGCTATAATTTGTGATAGGTCGCTTCTGAAGGAGAGCTACATAACTCGGTGGGCCTTATCTAGCAAAATAAAACGTTTTAAAAAATAGTATAGTATTAAGCGGTGGTGGTGGTTGAACGCAGTGCGATGAACGAGACAAAACACTTGGTAAACCAAGTCCTCAGCACAGGTAAATATTCTATGGGTGCATCGCAACAGGGCGATTTGTTTGTATTAATTTAGGTGAGTCACAGCCGAAGCTTATCAGCTGCCTGCCAGCAGGAACATCGTCATTTGTAAACTCATTTACCCAGTCATGTGGTGCTACAGCAAACGGCATTTGACCCACAGTCATACAATTGCAAGTTAAAATCCAGGTCTGTGATGTTGAGTGAACTCGTTATCCGTCCATTGTCGATAAACCAATAACCATCATCATTTGATCAAGAAGAGACGCTGTGATGTTGAAACCCAACTGTAAATGTTGTGGGTTTACTCTCCAAAATAGCTTTGTGCTGAACTAGTAACGAATTGGCATGTTTTGTTTCCGTGACAAACCTTACTAATTAACCTCACTAATTACTAATTGGCTGTGTCGGGTGGTGGCGGGTTTAACGACACATTCATATTTACGCGGTCTAACCAAAAAACATCTATTATGGATATTGGTCGCGAAAGCCTACATGTTAAACCAACCAAACTGGGTTCCACGGTGGGCAGCATTAGGCAACAAGTTGGGTTAATTAACCCATCTGTAAGGACCCTTTGAGTGCTATCCCCCTACTCGGCATGATGGGTTTTCTCCGGGTACAGTAAAACAACTCTCTATATCAAAGAGAGGAATTGGACGAACGTACCACTGTAACAGGACCCGCCCCTCGTGAAAACAAAAATGGCTCGAGACACCACGTGAGCCGTTCCGGGAAAAATGATGCGAATTAAAAATAAAATCTGACCCAAAATAATCAATTCCCCTAACCCAATCATGGCCTGAAAACAAGGTCACATTAAAAACGGTAATAACAATAATATCACATCATTAACCCAGGAAATTCCTTAGCAAATATCAAGACACCGTTTCATGAGGTCGCGCATTGGAAGGTTTGAGCAATGCCATAAATAAGTTTGACGTAAAGATGTGTTTTAAACAGGCCAGGCGACTTCACAAAACGAGTGTGCACTCACTGCCTTGGTGGACGCGACAGACAAGATGAACATTACGATTCGTTTCAGACTTTAGAAATGTGACTCCCTGTCATGAATTCGCCCGTCTAAGCAAACACTCGCGCAACAATGGCTCAGAGTGACACGAATATTATATTGTGACACAACACACCCGCGTACAGTATGCCCATTTATTAATTTACACCTCCACTTGTACATCTAACAAGACCCGCAGGTAAAAACAAAAATATTTGAGCCGTGTTGCTGTACTGCACTGAATGCTCCCTATGATGTCTGTGAAAGGGATTTTTATCATAACACGGCAGCTTTTGGCGCACATAGCAGGATACACTATGCTAGTGGCCTATTGCCATTTAAAGACCCACAAATATAATCGGAGGAAATACACAATTTTTTTAATGTCTGGCCAAAAGACTCTTGTATTTTGTCTATGTCAGTACCTGTTCAAATAAAATCCACCGCAAATACGAGGAAACGGCACTCAAAACCCCGCAGAGATATATTCAAGAGCCAACTTGCTGTACTGCCATCTCCTCCAAGGTCACAGCAAACTCGTAGACCAAGGTAGCCAGCAGATTCTTACGAAATCTCTCTGTTATGCACCATCCCACGCCCCCAAAAGTGCTAGATCAAAGGCATGCACCACCATGCTTCTTCTTAGCTGCTAGTTCGTGTGGGTTGTTGAATGGTGTGCCCAGCACAGGTTCAGATTTCGCTTGCCACTTACGCTAGCCGCGGCTTTTGTTTACATACACAACCTATTTGTCAATCCGCTGATGGATCAGGGCCTCGACTTGACATGAAGGTGGCTAATTGACCATACTTCACTACATCGGTCAGTGTGGGTTGGTTAAGGCAGGGAGACTAGACGCGGAAGCACAGAAGTACAGTACAGCAATCGATATTTCTGCAACGCCCTATGATGACAACGTAGCCCATAAAACCTTTGTTATACATTTGTGGTCACACATCCAAGCACAATCCAGGCACAATAACTGATGACCTTCTGAGATGGGACGAGATGGTTCTGGATGTTTTCGTCATAAGGGAAAAGTTAATCAAGGAGTCCTGTATGTATGTAGAACTTCTTTCGCACCGTACGTAACCAAGCGTGAAATGGTTTGCTCACGCCATTGCTGGCGGATGGGTCTCCACTTTAAAGGGCTCTAGAAAACCACTCTATAGAGGGCAATTGGCCTACTCTTCCACGCTGTCAAAGACGTATTGCAAGAGTTTGTTCATCTTAATTTATAGGTCAAGACTACTGCTGTGAGTAAATAATAGCAGTCTTGGTCCTACCGTACCTAACCTGAACCACTTAAAACTGTAACCGCACTCCAAACGCCAAGACCCCAACTCGAACCGCTAACTCTAGCCATTTAAACCTTCACGATAACCAGAGGTGTCCCTGAAATATTTCATAAACGAAAGCCCCATTAAGGTCTGTAACTGGATACCAATCTTCGGGGACAGTATATTTTAATCTCACCTTCCTTTACCCCCACTTACCCTCGCTCAGAGGTGGTGCCAGCCCATTGGGAGGCTGGATGCTGAATTATTTGGGTGGGGGGGAATTCTCTTTAAATTAGGAAATAGTGAGATGAAAAGAGCTGTTAAAGAAATACTTAAGTCGCGAGAAGAGAGCCATTTAAATAAAAGACATATGTAGAATACAGATGCAGCTAGTTGCACGCACACATTGGTAGTAGACACGTTAAGAGATGAGCGTGTTTAATTTGGTTTACGTCCACTATCCTGTTAAGTTAATTCATCATCATACAATAATCAATCAACTCCAGATGGAGGCCTCTCCTCCCACCCTAAGCCGTCACCGTGCGACTCAACGAATCCAAGGGGCATCCCGCGTAAGTGCCGGGTTGTTTATCTCACCGTTCAATACCATCCAAAACTCGAGCTGACATTTCATGCCGGTCCAATGTTTTGCCAGAAATACAGGGCCCCCCGTGGAACTGCTTGGCTTCCTCGCCATCATTTACTCGGTTGTGTTTTTTATTCTCCCCGAACTGTGCCAAACAGGGCCGGCGTTAGTCTGGCGCTGGGCCCTGGCTGGCCCAACCCCAACTTCACAGCGGTGTTCAGAATCACAATCTCTCTCTTTAAGACTGGAGGAATCCAATTAGCTATGAAGCTTTTTGCTCACACACAATAGCTCTACTGCCCCCCCCCCCCCCCCACATCTTCTTGGTTCTTTCGGTATTATTTCCCTTCTACGTGACTTTACCGAAAGAAGCAAGAAGATGAATCCCTGCAGTCACGAAAGCTTTAAATCGAAATGCCCCCCCACAATTCGACAGGAGGGGGGCGCCTCTCGTACCCATCGCTGCTCTCCACCCTCCCTCCCCCCACAACAACCCCAGTCCGTCACTCACTCTTTGGTGAGCAGGGGACACGACTTGAGAAGATGTCGCGCCAGTGGCGAATCCTGGAAGAACAGATCGGGTGACGCCGTGGGCGACTTGAGATTCAGGCACCGTACCATCACGTACAGCACCGCCGCCACCGCCGCCAACTTCACGCCGTCGACCATTGCCGGCATCTCCGGCATTGCCGCGCTCACCGAGTGCACGTCCATCGTGCCGATGTGGAGGGATGAGCTTTGAGTTGTAACAAAAAATTAAACGATTTTAAATGAAGGTTTTTTTTTTTTCACCAACTGCGGCCTAGCACGCACTCTCGTCGGATAGTTAGCCCTACCGGCCGAGGTGAGGGGTACACGGTAGAGGTTGCGTGCGATGCCGGGGGGTGCGTCGGGGTGGGTGAAAATCGCAGTGTCGGAGCTGGTATTCCAAAAAAAAAAATTTTACGACGACAGCCAGTTAGGACACCTACGTTGGATGCGTTCCCTTATTAATGTTGAGCTACGGTGTTTCGGAGCGAGGAGAGAGAGGGGGGGGGTGCTACGCGCGCTGGAACTCACGGAGAGCGAGAGAGCCAGCAGCGTCCCGAAGGCTGAGGCGACACTTCCACCACAGAGACGGTGGTGGTGGTGGGGGAGGCGGGGCGGAGGCCAGTCACGTGCCCCTCGCCCGCCAATCCGGACGCTTTACAACGAGGCTCCGCCCAACTCGTCACAGGCTCCGCCCACTTCGCCATAAGCCCCGCCCACTTTGCTGCAGACCCCGCCTGCTTTGTCATAAGCCCCGCCCACCTCCTCACATACTCCGCCTACTTTGTCATAAGCCCCGCCCACTTCCCCGCAGGACCCCGCCTACTTTGCCACGAGCCCCCGCCCACTTTCACCGGTCCCCCCCACCCACCCACCCCCTCAAGCCGGCGTCACGTGCTTTTCACGTGATTTGCACTTTCTATGTCCTGATGATGCTGGTGCCACTTGGTTGCTGCTCCTGCTGCGGTGGCTTATCTCGGTGGCTAGGAGATGTTAGCTACCTCGCCTGGTATACATAATGCACGGGCATAATGCACGGGCATAAGTAGTGCTAATCACATACCTGCATTTCCCATAAATATGCTAAATTCCTCTTGATATGCAAATTATTTTGTCAAGGCGCCCTTTCCCCCCCTTCCAACCCAGCTTATATATTTGCTCCAAGCACGTGTGCTGTTTCATTCAGACGCTGTCGCCTCGACAGACCTGGTTTTCACCTGAGGACGGCTGCTTGCGTTGTGGCCGAAACGTCGTGAGAATTATTTTATTATGTTTTATTTTTATTATTTTATTACTTCCCTTCTCCGTGACTTTACCGAAAGAACCAAGAAGATGGTATACAGAGGTCATGGGTTCGATCCCGACCCTGACGCCTGTATATTTGGAGTTTGCGTGTTCTCCGCGTGGTCGTGTGGATGTTTCTACGAGTTCTCCGGTTTTTCTCTCCACATTTAAAAACATGCGTTTGTAGTATTTGGCTGCTTTACATTTCCTCCTAATGAGCCACTTCATTGGGCTATCATTTGTGGCCAGGTCGCTTCTGGAAAAGACCTTACCTGGTAAAATAAATTAATAACTCGACACATTCGTCGTTAATACTGGCTTAAAATATATATAATAAGCGACGTTTCGGGCAATGGCCCTACTTCACCATATCATGGTCGTAGCATGTTTTTTTTATATGCAACGACCATCGGTTTTTGCCGAAATCTTCGCTTATTTGTTTTCTCTTTTAGGGCCAAAGTTTTGTTGAAGAAAGAGTTTGAAGGACACACTTCGTTGTTTCATCCACCGCCCCTGCCAGTGCCCAGCTCAAAACGCACGCCGAGCAATAACTCCCGTATCGTATTGCATTGCCATGTTAATCACGGCACGTGTACTACGAACTCGTGCTTGTAAGCACTGGTCGTGCGTTCCACTGCTGTCGATAGAATAGGAAAGATGTTCTTCGTAAAATTCCGCTCATGAATCGAGAAAGGGGCCGTCCATAAATGACGTATTTTTTAACACGCTTTTGTGACCAATATTACGATTCGTCATTGATTTTTTTTTGCTGGAGTCAATTCGCGGCGTGAGTAAAATGTGTGTCGTAAAACCTCCTCCACCCGACTCAGCCAATTAACAAAGTTGTCACGCGATGAGCACACGTGCAAAATCATTGTATTGTGCATGTATGTTGAAGTTCTTTCGCACCGTACGTAGCCAACCGTGCTAATCGAAAGGGTACAGAGGAAGGACAAAAAACTAAAACACAAAAAGCAGTTCTAAAAAAACGAGTTTCAACGCCCCATGACCTTATTATTGCCGCTTCAGCAACACCACAGGTGCGTTGGTAGACTAAAAACATAACAGCAATACATCGGGCACGTTCGTTCATCACACGGCAACTTTGTTCATCAGCTGCGTCAGGTGGTGGAGGGTTTACGACACACTTTACTCACGCTGCAATCACGCTGTTGATGTACGTGATATGTTTGTACTATACAGTGCAGGCAAAAAAAAACCCGCATTAATCTGCGATCAGATTTCATTTGGCTACGCTCCATAAAATCGTGCGTTGCATCAGCTCACCTTCTACTGGGTTGTCACGTTCTATTTGCTTAACGGCATTCGATGGGCAGAGAGGAAAACAGGAAAAGTTTATTTCCACATTGCTGGCGGATGGGCCTCCACCAAGGGGAGCTCTAGAGAGCCCCTCCAGATGGTGTTTTGGCCTACTCTTCCGTGCTGACTAGACGTCTTGGGAGAGGCGGGCGTACTCACACTTTAAATTACACTTTTTATTTTATTTTACCACGTAAGGCCCACTGAGCTATGGAGCTCTTTGTCAGAAGCGATCTGGCTATCACAAAAGATAGCTCAAGAAAAGTGGCTTATCACGTGGACATTTACAGGAGCCAAATACTTTAAAAGCGTGTTTCTAAATGTGGAGGGGTAAAATAAGTATAACCCGTAAAAAAAAGTTTTTCACTATAAATCCTTTATATGCGTGGCGGCTAGAGTCCTCTCGTCCTCTGGCTTGAGATGGCTGCCACCTATGGGTCAGATGATTGTCTGCCAGTATTAAGCAATTGGTAAGTAAATATTTAATTTGTTTTCCCTAAACAGTGTAAAATCTTGGAAAAAAAATTTCACGAACATTCATTGTCTCGCACAACGAGTCTGTGTAAAAAATGTCATCTCGATTGGATCACGGGAAGTGGGTTAAAAAACGACCGAAAGATTTGCACGGTCGTAAGCAAGCCAAGCACGCAAGCAAGCAAGCAAGCGAACTTAATATAAAGGATTTAAAAACGGAGGACCCAGGAAAAAATCCACACCACCGTTGGGAGAGCACGCAAACTGCAAATATACAGCAGGCGTCAGGGTCGGGATAGAACCCACAACCCCCTGTATGCCAGGCGAGGTAGTTAACATCTCGCCACCGTGGCGCCCCACCACTTTACCCCACCACACGCAACCTGCCGACCGACTAAGTGTGGTGACCCCACATTTACACTGCAGGGTGAATAGGGGTAGTGGGCCCTGCTGGGTGGATAGGGGCAGTGGGACCCCCCCCCCCCTACTGCCCCTAAATTTATGAAACTTGCCACCGATGTTCCAACCAAACCGGCGACCCCCGGAGCGCAAGTCCGGTATGCGGATTGCATCATGGCAGCTTCCCGGGAGGATGTATTGTTGTTTCGTTTCGCTTTAAACGCAATTCATTGTTGACAATACAGTACCAACATTTAATGGAACACACTCCAGTGCACAATACAGCATTTACAGTGCGCGTGTATAACAGATGAAGCCAAAAGCGTGTATTTGCGCTCTACATGGGCGCTTGTATAATGCAACACTATCCCAAGAGGTGAATAGGTTATTCTGAAGACAAGCCACGCGTGAAGGCTTACTTAGACAGTTGTCAAGCAGCGGGAACGGTGCTCGATTCGTTAGCCCCCCCTCCCACCTTCGCCCCACCATCACCAAAATAAATTCACTCTTTAGATCGATGCCCCCCCTCAAACTTCCCACACGCTCCGATGGGCCACGTGTTGTCAAGCCATTCAGTTTACCCCGTATTCTTGTACAGGGAAATTGAGTTTTCAGGTCCATACGGCGTACAGCCGTTTCAATACGGGCAAAACCATTTTTTTGTCTATTTGTTTGTGTGTCTCCCTTGTGATGGGACTTTGTATGATCAACGTTGAGATTTCGAAGGGCACGGGGTGACCGATAAAGTCTGAATTGAGTCTGTAATAAGGCAGGCACTGATAAGGAGTTTCACCGTTATAGTATAGTGTAGTGTATAATGCAGTGTATAGTGTAGTGTATAGTAGTGTATATCATACCTGTCAACCCAAACGGTTTACCCGTGTGCTTGTACAGGGAAATTACGTTTTCAGGTCCAGGCGTACATGTTTCATTACGGGCAAAAAAACCGTGTCTATTTGTTTGTGTTTCTCCCTTGTGATGGGACTTTGTAGAATGAACGTTGAAATGTATAAGGGCACGGGTGATCAATAAGGTCTGAATTGGTCTGTAATAAGGTAAGCACTGATAAAGGGTTGACAGGTATGTGTTGTCCACACCAAAACTGAAAATGGAACAAAAAGTCAAAAGAGCTCTTTCCTCGCCACCTCCCGCACCTCCGATTAGCACGGTTGGCTACGTACGGTGCGAAATAAGTTCAACATACGGTACATACGGTACATGGAAGAGGGTTGTTGTAGTTCGGCTTTGGCCGAGTCAGAGAGCGAGTACTCCGGTCTGGTTGGTTCGTTAGTTTGGGGTCTGGGCAGTAGCCCCACGGTGGCCAGGAGATGTTAACTCCCTCGCCTGGTATACAGGACGTTGAGGTTCGATCCCTACCCTGACGATGTCTGCTGCTGTATATTTGGATTTTGCATATTTCTCTCTCCCATCATCATCACGGTGGCTAGGAGATGTTAACTCCCTCGCCTGGTATACAGGAGGTTGTGGTTCGACCCCTACCCTGACTATGTCTGCCGCTGTTTATTTGGATTTTGAATATTTCTCTCTCTCATCATCATCACGGTGGCTAGGAGATGTTAACTCCCTCGCCTGATATACAGGAGGTCGGGGTTCGATCACGACCCTGACGATGTCTGCTGCTGTATATTTGGATTTTGCATATTTCTCTCTCTCTCTCATCATCATCACGGTGGCTAGGAGATGTTAACTACCTCGCCTGATATACAGGAGGTCGGGGTTCAATCACGACCCTGACGCCTGTATATTTGGAGTTTGCACGTTCTCCTCGTGGTCGCATGGATTTTCTCCCGGTCCTCCGGGTTTTCTCTCCACACTTAGAATCATTCATTTAGAGTATTTGGCTGCTATAAATTTCCACACGATGATAAGCCACTTCGTTGAGATATAATTTGTGGCCACGTCACTTCTGAAGAACAGCGACATAGCTCAGTAGACTTTAGCTGGTAAAATGCAAAATAGTTTCAATAGTTAGTTATGACCAATGTGTGGATGGTTAGGGGTAGCGTTAGTGTTTTGCTTGGGACGGATGACAAGGGTTTGGATTAGTAGACTAGGATTAGTGTCTGATTGACGAGCTGGTTAGGGTTAGCGTCGTTGTTACAGACGATACCAGCGGCGGGTTGGTTAGTTTCTTAGTGCTCGGCTCAATGGTGTTGGCCCGTTGGCGAGTCAATCAGGCTTGAGGGTTGTGACCAGAATTGGAGCCGTGGCTAGTTGTATCGTCGATTGGGTTGGCGATCAGTCCGAGGGCTTGTGCTCGCATCTGCTCGGCTAACTTAAGAGCAGCCCTCGCCTTCGGTTGGCTAAACCAGTGGTTCGCAACCTTGTTTTGCTACTGTACCCCGTGTTGACTTTTGTTTCAACTGAGTACCCCCTTGCCTGACCCAACGTAGTTCCAGGAAATAAATGTATGAACAATGAAAATCAATAGTGTAAGCATAATAAGCACAATGAATGCGACACTGGGGCATTGCCACGTACCGCCAGGGTTACGTGCACCCCCGGTTGAGAGCCAATGGGCTTAACCGCCTGCATCCTTCACTCTTCCGCATCGCAAGCCTCACCACCTTTTCACTTTCCACTTTGCTCTCTCCTGATTTGAAGCTTTTCGTGACTGCAGGAACTCATACTCTTTGTTTCTTTCGGTAAAGTCACGTGGGTAGGGAGCAGACATCGTGCTGCTCGCAGCAGATGTCGCAGCTGAAGACCGGCGCTTGTGTTGCGTTCAAAACGTCGTGATTTATTTTATTTTATTTCTACCTACATGACTTTACCGAAAGAACCAACGAGTATTTGCTCTCTCCGTTTCAGCACCAGTGGCAACACACACATCCACCGCCACCGCCGCCGCCACCGCCACCGCGCCATCAGCAAATGAGCGGCATGACGTAGTCCGAATGCCGGACTCCCATGCGGAACGTCGGGGCGCGGCGCGTCGTCACCGACACGCACGTCTCGGGCCGGTGCGCGCCGGGGCCCGGCTTCTGCGTGTTGTCGCCGGGTAGGCGGCTGCGGCTCTGCAGCGACCACGCCGGCGCCCGGTGCGGCCGCAGGTCCGAGGCGTGGGCGGCGTCGTAGCGTGCTGGGCCCGGCGTCCGGGCCAGGTCCTCGGCGTGACCCCCAACGGAGCGGCGGGCTGACACCGAGAAGCTGGGCGCCGAGCGGCGGTGCGGCAGGTGGGAGCCCAGCGTGCTCGGCAGACTTAACGGGGAAAGAACGTGAAGCCACCAAGCCAGTCCGTTAGAATTAGCTTACGTTCGCTACATCGTGAACCCCATTTTTTTTTTTCCCACTGGCATATCCGAGCCATGCCAGGGCCGTGCCGGGCCTAGGCTGTCGCGGCTCAGGAGGCGCCGGGTCGGTTTTTTTCAATGCAGAAATCGAGCCGTGCCGCTGACGTCACGCGCAATTTATTTAACATTTTTTGTTATTTTTACCAGGTAAGGCCCACTGAGCTCTATAGCTATTTGTCTGAAGCGACCTGGCCACAAATGATGACTCAACGAGAAGTGGCGTATCGTCGTGTGGAGAGATTTAAAGCAGCAGCAGCAGCAGCCAAATACTCTGAACGCGTGACGTTGATTCTAAACGTGGAGGGGAAAACCGGAGGACCCGGAGAAAAGAAAAAAAGCCACTGAGAGAGAAAGAGAGAGGGAGCCACCGCAAACCCCTCGGTCTCACCTGTAGGCGTTGGGCGCTGGCACGAGGTCAACGCTGCGCGACGCGGTGCGCTCGGCGAGCGAGTACGCGGGAGCGCGCGCCTCGCTCGGCGAAAAGAGCCGCTCGCTCGCGTACGCACCCGGGCCCGGCGTGCGGAACGCCAGCGCTGGGAGAGAAAAGGTAAAAAATTAACCCGTAAAAACAAAGTTTTTCACTATAAATCTTTTATATGCGTGTCATCGATTTTATTTTATTATTCATTTCTGTTTTTCTTGAGTAAGAGTTTAATTTTTTTTTATCACATTGGTATTTTAAATTAAATATGAAAAAAAAATTCCTAAAAAGTGTAAAATTTTCGAAATTTATTTTTCACGAACATTAATTGTCACGCACAACGAGTTTGTGTGCAAAATGTCAGCTCGATTGGATCACGGGAAGTGGGTTAAAAAACGACCGAAAGATTTGCGCGGTCGTAAGCAAGCAAGCAAGTGAACTTAATATAAAGGATTTAAAAAGATCCCACCACCGCGACGGACACACCACACCACCCCAACCCTCAGTATAGCCTTCACACAGTCGTTCTCAACCAGAGGGAGGGGGGGGTTACGCGGACCCCTATGGGGTGCACGTGGCAATGTCCCAGGGTGGGAGGAGAAGGGGGGGGGTACGTGATGTGATTTACAAATGTGTGAAATTATTATGTCGTACGTGAGAAGTCACTTGTGAATAATCACGCAGGGATCTTGCCAATATAAATAACTGCGATAAAATGTAAAGTCCACGTGGTCACCTAGAACTGTACATTTTGTTGTCACCGTGACCCTTTCCCTCCCATATTTAATCAATTAATTAATAATATTTGCCTTAAATTAACTTTCATATTTCAGTTTTTTTTTTTCAAATGGCTGCCCGCAATCCAAAGAGTCGCAACGGGGGGGAAGCTGAAAAAGGCAGCATGCGGTTTTGTAGCAATCGTAAAAAAAAAAAATACTGCGTAATGCTAATGACTACATAGGGGTTTATGAAACAGAGGAAGTCGTAACTTACGTGCCCGTGCTAAATTTGATTACCTTTTAAAAAAAAAAATCTGCCCATGTCTTGCCACCCCCCCAGAAGGGGCATCTCACAACCCCCGGGGGTGGGGGTAGGGGTGGGGGGAAATGCGTGATGCACCCCAGGTTAAGATGAATGACTGTTCTACGTCTAGAGCGTGCGTCTCGTTAGCGGGCTCCGTACTCCGTTCGCGGTGGCGGCCCTGTATTGAGTAGACCGGCGACCCCTCCAGGCCGTGGCGGGTGAGGCTCGGGGAGTAGTACTTTGGTCCGGGAGTCTTGGCCATCGGGAACCCTGGAAGAACAGTGACGGAGACGCCCAGGTGTGATTGCATGGGCTGGCCGAGCCTGTGCATCATTTCTCATTGAAGAATGGAGGTGGGCTTACGGATAGTGCAAATGGTATCCACAGCCCTATAGCGAGAGGTTGCCACGGTGGCGAGATGTTAACTTCCTCGCCGGGTATACAGGAGGTCGTGGGTTCGATCCCGACCCAGACGCCTGCTGTATATTTGGAATTTGCGTGTCTCTCTCTATCTTTGTCATCATCATTACGGTGGCTAGGATATGTTAACTACTTTGCCTGGTATACAGAAGGTCGTGGGTTCGATCCCGACCCTGACGCCTGCTGTATATTTGGAGTTTGCGTGTCTCTCTCTCTTTGTCATCATCATTACGGTGGCTAGGAGATGTTAACTACCTCGCCTGGTATACAGGAGGTCGTGGGTTCGATCCCGACCCTGACGCCTGCTGTATATTTGGAGTTTGCGTGTCTCTCTCTCTTTGTCATCATCATTACGGTGGCTAGGAGATGTTAACTACCTCGCCTGGCATGCAGGAGGTCGTGGGTTCGATCCCGACCCTGACGCCTGCTGTATATTTGGAGTCTGAATGTTCTCCCGGTGGTCGCGTGGATTTTAATCCAGGTCCTCCGGTTTTTCCCTCCACATTTAGAAACATGCGTTAGAGCTGAAATTAAGCCTCTGGTGGGCCAAGTGCTTTGAGTCGAGCACCTATGAAGGTCAGCGCGGTGCACGACAGAAATTGGACCGAATTTATCAGAAGGCTATTGCTCAAAGCCTGCTGATAAAATTTTGCGCTCAAAGTATAAGCCTTATCGGCCAAGGCGATGACGTCATACGTCACGCGGGGCGATGTGGTCAGCACCGTGCCCGGCCGCCTTTATCTCCCCAGTGCTGACGTGGAGGAATACACAAAGACAAAGGTCATTCGTATGGCTTGCATATACTACTGGGACAGGCACCTGTGCAGGAGGCAAGCATCACGCATCATCTGGTCCAACCCATGTGAGACTAGGCTCTAAGGAAAGGTGTCTCGGGTGTGGACCAATCAACTTCAAGGACAGTGCACATTATCAGAGTTGTGTTTTTGTTTGCATCATGACTGCAGGTATTGTGGTCTATGTAAACATGACTCCTTGTAAAAAAAGGTGTCAGTTTTGTTGCCAGTTAGAAGGGTAAAAAAAACAATTATCGAGGCAAGCATCATTCATAATGGCATAGAGTGAAATAATTGGGGTTTCACAGCACGATGCTGATGGGGGTTGTTGTCACACGTGGTGTATTGCAGGGGGCCGCACTAAAGGCCACCAGAGATCCGGCCATTGGCGCGCGGACCTTGCAATGAAGACCACTGCCGTGTAGCCTGCACAGATGATTGGGAAGAGTACGTATGTTGAACTTCTTTCGCACCGTACGTAGCCAACCGTGATCATCAGAGATGCTTGGGGAGGGGGTGGGGGGGATGGAACGACGAGTGCTGTTAGCGAGCACCTACTAGGGCCGACGGGGGCCACACGTGTTCTAATCTAACCAAGACCGACTGAGGAATGCGTCCCGGGATCGGGTTTCGAACCCTCCTCGCCGCCGCGCGCGTACTTGGGTCGTCGTAGCGGGCGGACATGGTGTAGGCCGGGCTGGCGCGCTTCGAGACGTCGTGCCCGCCGTGGCCCAGCGTGGGTGGCAGCTTGTACTTGGCAGGCCCCGGTCCTGACACACGGCAGACGGGCGTCAACCGCGAAGGCGACGATTACGCACGAAAAAAGTGCTCGCCGAGAAACAGAACCACAACGCCTTGGCCAATGTCGTCCAGGAGCGCAAACCATAGTAGCGCCGACTCCTGGCGGATTTGTGGCTGGCCGTCGAAGCAAAGACGGTGGTCACCGCTTCGTCGCGCGCTTTCAGGTGCGCTCCTGCGGCCGTCTGGAACGCCTCTTCCGTTCCGAGAAGCCACCGGAGCCATGCACTTTTGAATCGCTTAGTTTGTAAACTCATTTATTTAGAAGTGCTTTTTGTGTTTAGTTTGTTGTCCTTCCCCCGCACCTCCGATTAGCACAGTTGGCTACGTACGGTGCGAAAGAAGTTCAACATACATACATGATGCCCCCCCCCCCTTTAAACAAGCAAGGAAAATCATGCATATCATGGGTTCTGTAACGCTCTCCATGGTACGGGGAAGGGGAGCGCGCGACGAGTGAGGTTATTGCCTTGGCCGATAAGGCTTGTACTTTTAGCGCCGTTTTTTTTAATCATCAAGTTTTGGACAATAACCCTCCGATCAATTTGGTGGATTTTCTGTCGAGTAAAGTCCTCGTAAAAGCAGGACAACTCCATGCCAAAACCTGCTAGTTATATTTGGATCACGTTATGCGGGTTAAGAGTGCCGTCCTGTTACAGACGGACTGGATGGGACCGGAGCGAATGCACGGGCGCTTTCAACCTGAATCTGCGAGCGTGACGAAACGCACAGCGACCATATCTGTGAACCAACATTGGGGGGGCATTTTTAAATCCTTTATATTAAGTTCACTTGCTTGCTTGCTTGCGCGCTTACGACCGTGCAAATCTTTCGGTCGTTTTTTAACCCACTTCCCGTGATCCAATCGAGCTGAGATTTTGCACACAGACTCGTTGTGCTTGACAATTTATTTTCGTGAATTTTTTTTCTCCAAAATTTTCAACATTTTAGGATTTTTAAAAAAATATTTAATTACCAATTGCTTAATGGTGGCAGGCAATCATCTGACCCATAGGTGGCAGCCATCTCAAGCCAGAGGACGAGAGGACTCTAGCCGCCCGTTGCAAAGACCAATGTGGGCTGGCACGCATATAAAGGATTTATAGTGAATAACTTTGTTTTTACGGGTTAATTTTTATTCAGTTGGATTCAGCGATTGACAAAGTAGAGGGCCCACGTCCGTTCCTCCCCCCTCCCCACACAGTGCAACCTCCACGGCCCTGTCGTTTTGCTTCACAGAAACGAGAGAGGGGTTTCCGTTAGTGTACGGTAACAGCAACAAACCTTGCAAGGTTCAAACACACACACACTGTGTCTCTTTGCGTTTGCAGCGTTAGCCAGCGTCCCCACCCCCCGCCGCCCCCCATGCAGCCATGGCTCTCTCTCTCTGTTTGTTCTCTCGCTCAACAAAACGCAGGAGAAGCAACAACAACCGGACCCGCGCTCGTGGTGAAGTTGACACGGGCCCATTTTGTGCGGGCCATTGTCACGCGCGTGGTAATTGCCTCTTAAGTCACCCGTGGGGGCTTGGAAATAATCAATAGGGACACCTGTCGATGGGTTTTCTCCCGGGGGTAGGAGGGAGGGTGGGTGGGTCAGGTTCCACCAGGTATATTTTATTTGACCAGGCCAGGCCGACTGAGCTGAATAGCTCTTTTTTTCAGACGCGACCTGGCGATCACAAATGTTAGCTCAACCAAGTGGATCATCACGTGGGAATGTGTAACAGCCAAATGCTCGAAACGCGTGATGTTGATTCTAAAATGTGGGGAGGAAAAAAACCGGAGGACCCGGAGAAACTCTTATGCGACCACAGGGAGGGAGACACGCAAACTCAAAATATACAGCAGCAGGCGTCAGGGTCGAGATCGAACCCACGACCTCCTGTATACCAGGCGAGGTAGTTAACATCTCCTAGCCACCGTGATGATGATGATGATGAGAGAGAGACACGCAAACTCCAAATATACAGCAGCAGGCGTGAGGTTTGGGATCGAACCCACGACCTCCTGTATACCAGGCGAGGTAGTTAACATCTCCTAGTCACCATAGGTGAAGGTCGTGGGCGAGTTTAGGGGGGGGGGGCAATGCCTCCCAAAACTGGACACCTTTAATAATTTATTTTCAGTAGTTTACAATTAAGATTAAAACCTTAAAAAATAATTCCAGGGTGCTTCAAAAAAATGTTAACACTTAGATCGGATTATAATTTGCCATGGAAAAAGAACGGATAATACACTGTAACATGATAACAAGTGTAAGTTAACAGCTTCAAAAAGTCACTAGTTCGCCATCAATGTCAACACATGTCTGGAATCTTCTCCAGGTGGTCCCCAGAGGTGCATTTCTCGTGGTATTGTTGCCAATTCTCAGAAGTGTAAACCACAAACGTTTGAAGCACCCTGAATATACACCGCCATTCCTAATGCGAGGGGCAAATCGAACCCTTTGCCCCCCTCCCCAAATAGAGAATTCAAACTCCTCCTCTGGTGAAGCTCTCAGAGTCAACAGTCGCTTTCCTCCGCACTGCGTGGGGACTCTGTGATCATAGCATGACGGGGGTTGTGTTGGGGCAGGTGGGGGAGGGAGTTGGATGGATAATGGTTTCAGGTTTTAATTTAACGCCACTCAAGATGAGGGCTTTCCAAGCGGTCGCAACGCGCCCCTTCTCACGTTCCTTCCTCTCTCCTGTCTGCACAATGCGAGTGTAAGAACCCTCTTTGTCAACCCCACTCTTTGACATAGGTGCCGCCCTCTCTCTGTGTCTGTATCTGTGTCCCTCCTGCGTGTGTGCGTACGGACCCTTTGAAATATCTACCAGCTATGCGAATGGCAAATTCTGTTGCTCGACGATTGTATTGAATCGACGATCTTAGCCCTGGCGACTGACTCGGTCAGTAAACTGGAGCCGGCTTTTTAGTGCGCTCGATTGCGCGCATTCAAAGGCTGCGTCAATCAGCAGGACCGGCATCGTTACCTTATTGCAGAGAGAGATGCTCAGGACTCAACAATGCCAGGACTTTAGCCCAAAATCGTCTTGGCGTCTCTTAGCCGGACGCACACGTTGTGAGCAGTGGCGTAGTAACTACATCATCAGTGGCGTAGTAACTACATTATCAGTGGCGTAGTAACTACATTATCAGTGGCGTAGTAACTACATTATCAGTGGCGTAGTAACTACATTATCAGTGGCGTAGTGACTACATTATCAGTGGTGTAGTGACTACATTATCAGTGGTGTAGAAACTACATTATCAGTGGTGTAGTCACTACATTATCAGTGGTGTAGTAACTACATTATTAGTGGTGTAGTCACGACATTATCAGTGGTGTAGTAATTACATTATCAGTGGTGTAGTGACTACATTATCAGTGGCGTAGTAACTACATTATCAGTGGCGTAGTAACTACATTATCAGTGGTGTAGTAACTACATTATCAGTGGTGTAGTAACTACATTATCAGTGGTGTAGTAACTACATTATCAGTGGTGTAGTAACTACATTATCAGTGGCGTAGTAACTACATTATCAGTGGCATAGTAAGACATTATCAGTGGCGTAGTAACTACATTATCAGTGGTGTAGTAAACTACATTATCAGTGGTGTAGTAACTACATTATCAGTGGCATAGTAACTACATTATCAGTGGTGTAGTAACTACATTATCAGTGGCGTAGTAACTACATTATCAGTGGTGTAGTAACTACATTATCAGTGGCATAGTAACTACATTATCAGTGGTGTAGTAACTTCATTATCAGTGGTGTAGTAACTACATTATCAGTGGTGTAGTAAACTACATTATCAGTGGTGTAGTAACTACATTATCAGTGGCATAGTAACTACATTATCAGTGGTGTAGTAACTACATTATCAGTGGCGTAGTAACTACATTATCAATGGCGTAGTAACTATATTATCAGTGGTGTAGTAACTACATTATCAGTGGCATAGTGACTACATTATCAGTGGCGTAGTAACTACATTATCAGTGGCATAGTAACTACATTATCAGTGGTGTAGTAACTACATTATCAGTGGTGTAGTAAACTACATTATCAGTGGTGTAGTAACTACATTATCAGTGGCATAGTAACTACATTATCAGTGGTGTAGTAACTACATTATCAGTGGTGTAGTAACTACATTATCAGTGGTGTAGTAACTACATTATCAGTGGCATAGTGACTACATTATCAGTGGTGTAGTAACTAAATTATCAGTGGTGTAGTAACTACATTATCAGTGGCGTAGTAACTACATTATCAGTGGCGTAGTAACTACATTATCAGTGGCGTAGTAACTACATTATCAGTGGCGTAGTGACTACATTATCAGTGGTGTAGTGACTACATTATCAGTGGTGTAGAAACTACATTATCAGTGGTGTAGTCACTACATTATCAGTGGTGTAGTAACTACATTATTAGTGGTGTAGTCACGACATTATCAGTGGCGTAGTAACTACATTATCAGTGGTGTAGTAAACTACATTATCAGTGGTGTAGTAACTACATTATCAGTGGCATAGTAACTACATTATCAGTGGTGTAGTAACTACATTATCAGTGGCGTAGTAACTACATTATCAGTGGTGTAGTAACTACATTATCAGTGGCATAGTAACTACATTATCAGTGGTGTAGTAACTTCATTAGCAGTGGTGTAGTAACTACATTATCAGTGGTGTAGTAAACTACATTATCAGTGGTGTAGTAACTACATTATCAGTGGCATAGTAACTACATTATCAGTGGTGTAGTAACTACATTATCAGTGGCGTAGTAACTACATTATCAATGACGTAGTAACTATATTATCAGTGGTGTAGTAGCTACATTATCAGTGGCATAGTGACTACATTATCAGTGGCGTAGTAACTACATTATCAGTGGCATAGTAACTACATTATCAGTGGTGTAGTAACTACATTATCAGTGGTGTAGTAAACTACATTATCAGTGGTGTAGTAACTACATTATCAGTGGCATAGTAACTACATTATCAGTGGTGTAGTAACTACATTATCAGTGGTGTAGTAACTACATTATCAGTGGTGTAGTAACTACATTATCAGTGGCATAGTGACTACATTATCAGTGGCGTAGTAACTACATTATCAGTGGTGTAGTAACTACATTATCAGTGGTGTAGTAACTACATTATCGGTGGCGTAGTAACTACATTATCAGTGGCGTAGAAACTACATTATCAGTGGTGTAGTGACTACATTATCAGTGGTGTAGTAACTACATTATGAATGGCGTAGTAACTACATTATCAGTGGCGTAGTAACTACATTATCAGTGGTGTATTAACTACATTATCAGTGGTGTATTAACTACATTATCAGTGGCGTAGTAACTACATTATCAGTGGTGTAGTGACTACATTATCAGTGGTGTAGTAACTACATTATCAGTGGTGTAGTAACTACATTATCAGTGGTGTAGTAACTACATTATCAGTGGCATAGTGACTACATTATCAGTGGCGTAGTAACTACATTATCAGTGGTGTAGTAACTACATTATCAGTGGAGTAGTAACTACATTATCAGTGGCGTAGTAACTACATTACCAGTGGCGTAGTGACTACATTATCAGTGTCATAGTAACTACATTATCAGTGGCGTAGTAACTACATTATCAGTGGCATAGTAACTGCATCATCAGTGGTGTAGTGACTACATTATCAGTGGCATAGTAACTGCATCATCAGTGGCGTAGTAACTACATTATCAGTGGCATAGTAACTGCATCATCAGTGGTGTAGTGACTACATTATCAGTGGTGTAGTAACTACATTATCAGTGGTGTAGTAACTACATTATCAGTGGCGTAGTAACTACATTATCAGTGGCATAGTAACTGCATCATCAGTGGTGTAGTGACTACATTATCAGTGGCATAGTAACTACATTACCAGTGGCGTAGTAACTACATTATCAGTGGTGTAGTGACTACATTATCAGTGGTGTAGTAACTGCATCATCAGTGGTGTAGTAACTACATTATCAGTGGCGTAGTAACTACATTATCAGTGGCATAGTAACTGCATCATCAGTGGCGTAGTAACTACATTATCAGTGGCATAGTAACTACATTATCAGTGGCGTAGTAACTACATTATCAGTGGCATAGTAACTACATTATCAGTGGCGTAGTAACTACATTATCAGTGGCGTAGTAACTACATTACCAGTGGCGTAGTAGCTACATTATCAGTGGCGTAGTGACGACATTATCAGCTCAGATGTGTGCGGCAATCAGTCAGGTAGGGGACCAATATTTAATTTGTCTCGCACGGTCGCACCTCGAGGCTAATATTATATATGGCGGCTCCTATTACCTATGACATCGTCGTTCCGCTCCCGGTCGAGAACATTTTACGCTGTAGGAGCGCTCCGTCACTACAACTCCGTAGAAATTACACCTTCTTCTTGGTTCTTTCGGTAAAGTCACGTGGAATGGAAATGATAAAATAATAAAAATAAAACATAATAAAACAATTATCTTCAGACTCTGTCTCCTCGACATACCTGTTCTCCACCTGAGGACTGCTACTTGCGTTGTGGCCGAAACGTCGTGAGAATTATTTTATTATGTTTTATTTTTATCATTTTATTATTTCCATTCTACGCGACTTTACCGAAAGAACCAAGAAGAAGCTCAAAGCTGCTTAGCTTCCGAGATTTTGACGAGAATGGGGCCACGTTTTGGGTGATAGGTAAATTATATTCACACGTGTACATATCCATATCTGATGTGCAATTGTCACCATAGCTACGCCAGCACTTTTAACAACAACAACAACAACGCTCTTTATTTCAACCACTATCATCTTATGTACAATTCTAGATTTGAAGCTTTCGTGACTGCAATGATTCATATTCTTAGGTTTTTACGGTAAAGTCACGTAGGTAAAAAATTTTAATTAATAAAAGTAAAATAAAATAAATTAAAAATAAAAATCACGACGTTTCGGAGGCAACACAAGCTTCCGTCTTCAGGTGGAACCGTCACAGCCACGACAGCTGTATCAAGTAAATGAGAGATTACAAGAGCTACCACTCCGTATATATAATTTTACTTTTATTCATTTAATTTTTTTACCTACGTGACTTTACCGAAAAAACCTAAGAATATCTTATGTACAGTTAAAAATAAACTATTGTAAAGCGCTTTGCACGAAGGCGCTATGTGAAACTGCATAAGGCAAAGTGGAAAATTTAGGCTCAATAGCGAAACAAACATTTCTCTCGCGACGTTTGTTGCGCGGCGCTGATCCGCGTGCCCCTCCCACACAGCCCCGTGATTTATAATTCATTGCGAATGGGTTTTCAATTTTGCTGACGCATCGTGGCAAATGAAAAAGCGTCACCCACGAGCGTTGTATTATTCACAATGGAAAAGACCCCCCCCCCCCAACCAGCCAACGTTGTGGGCCATGGACACAGTTGGTGAGCGCCACGTGCCGTTAGCGATGCGTTAATGTGAGCGCGGTGCGTTCAGTTGAGTTTATACTGGAAGGAACCTCCTGGTTACACCAGCCCACAGGGGATTATTGTGTCCGTCGTGCAGGGAGGGGCTGGGTGGGGAGGGAGGGGCTGGGTGGGGAGGGTGGGGATGGGTGGGGCTGGGTGGGGAGGGGCTGGTCACCCCGTGGTGCCCTTATAAAACTCAACGTTTAACCTACTCACGCCGGCTTGTGCCCGCCCTCACAGTCGGGCATATTTGCGGAATACACCACGCCGCCGTTGACCGAGCAACCCAACGTTCCTACCAGCTCCCTCCGCAGGAATGTGTGTTATTAGGTGTATAGCCCTGTGGGCCATGCGGCTCTTGAATCGGGTGCAACCGCAACAAAACAACAAAATGAACAAGAAACATCTTAAAGTGACTACGCGCAAACAGAAAAAAATCCAGGAAAAAAACCAGCAAAATCTTCCAGAAAAAGCACCGTATATCAATGATGTGGTGCAAAAATCCCAGTCGGGATGAAAGTCGCAGAGCAGTAGCAACACACCCCCGTCTCAAGACCCTGACGTTTACACATCGCACCTTGTAGTCGTTTAATGCCGAGCCGACCTAGGGGAAGCCCGGAACGAGTTAAGCTACCGCAGGTCCCCGGGATTCGAAGCCCGCTGGGTTCACAGCGCAGTGCGCCAATCACTGTGCCACCACTCCATGTACGTCCGTCTGGAACGCTCTTCCGATATTATGAAGCCACTGGAGCTACGCACTTTTAAATCATCTAGATCGAAAAACTCATTTATTTAGAATTGCTCCGTAGGCAGGAATCGAGTGCAACGTTGCTGGGTTCACAGTGCAGCTTTTGCTAACCACCGCGACACCGCTGGGGCAATCTCAACAATCTCTCAACCACCAATAATGTACACACACACACACGCGAACCTCCGATTAGCACGCTTGGCTACGTACGGTACGAAAGAATTTCAACGCACGCAAACACACGTGGGTGACGTAAATCCCGACGCTGATTAAGACTCGCAAGCTCGTCAATTGAGAATAGCCGGTTAAAGACGATCACAAAATAACAACGGTCGCTCAATTATATCTCGACAGACGCGAAACTCATCGTCTTCTTCTTACCTCTGAACTTTGCGTAAATCAAGGGGCGATCCTTCTCCGCTGTTTCCATGCCTCTCGAGTCTCGGTCTCTCGATTTTTTGACTCCGACTTTTTTGTCGTGTTTTTGTTGTTGTTGTTTAAACGTAAACCGCTGTCTTGAGTTCAATTTGTATTTTTTAACAAAAAAATCCGCGAAGAAAGCTGCCACCACCACCACCACCGCCGCTGTTGATGTTGCTCCCCCACAGAGCGTTGCATACGAAGAGTTTTACTGGCAAACTATTTGTTGGTTCAACTGCTCCAGGCGGTCTGCAATCAATTGTCACCCTGGCTACCGTTGCCTGGTGTCGCATGGATGATTAGCGGAGCAGTGCGGACGTTGGGTTGTCGGCGTCCCGCACACAGACACCCACACACACCCCCCTCCTCCGTCTGCCTTGCTTGGGTTTCACGGCTTGCAGAGAGGAGCGAGCGAGCCGGGCTAGGAGCCAAACTCACTTGAACGAGGGACACAACAGTCCACCCACCCACCCACATCCTTGTCCATTTGTACATCGATATTCAGAGCCGTCTGAAATGCTGTAGAGAGAGAGAGAGGGGCACACGTGCGGATACAATGAGAGCGATAGCCACACACAGAGAGAGAGAGAGACGGTACTTGCTCCGGCAGTACATATACTAACATTGGAACGATACAGAGAATATTAGCATGTCCCCCTGGGCAAGAGTGACACGCAAATTCGAGAGAGACAGAGTGGAGGCAACGTGGACACAGGGAGAAAGACAGATGGGTGGAGAAAGACGGACAGAGATGGACAGGGAGAAAGAGGAGTAATAGAGACGCAGACAACATGGAGGGGCCATCCACGTAAAGACAGAGATGGAGAGAGAGATAAATACGGGGAGAAGGAGAGACATACAGAGGCAGACAAGGTGTGGTTAGAGAGACAGTGATAGACGCAGACACATCGAGATGGACGGAGAGACATCGATCAACAGACTTCGAGACAGAGACGCAACAATACACCCTTACAGACACACCAGAGAGACGCATTGAAACCAGTGTACAATATTACGGCTTAATTGAACAAATTGTATCAAGTATAGGCTATGAACTCGTGACCTGTCAACACCAACCTACTAAAAAAGCGGTGTCAATCATATAAACCAGTGGTCCAAACCAACGTAGACTCTCTAAAGCGGCGTAACTTAAACCAAACTAACAAGAACAAAGCGTGGAGAGGTTAATGTCAGTAATTATACTGTGAGGCAGAAAGAGGAACACATGGATTCGAGAACGTGAATGCAAGTTGGAGACGTCACGAAGCCTGTAGGCCATCGCATCGCGCGCTTTCGGATGCGTTTCTGCGGCCGTCTGGAACGCTCTTCCTTCCGATATTAGGAAGCCACTGGTGCTATTCACTTTTAAATCATCTAGATTGAAAAACGTATTTATTTAGAACTGCTTTTTTATCTTAAACAAAGCACGCCACGACTGTAAGCGGACGATGGCCGGTGGCCGAGACTAACGACAGAGTGGCAGCCAAAGAAAGGATCGTAGCCAAGAGGACCTCCACAGCAGAGACGGAGCTATTAATTCAGTTTGTACGCGGGTGTTTGAGCGATCGTTGCATCAGTCGTTCTTGACCTGGGGTGCACGCACTCCCTGGGGGTGCGATATGCCCTTTCTGGGAGATGAGAGATGTGGCCAGTTTTTTATAGAAGGTAAATACCACTGGTCAACAAAAGAAAAATTCTGGCCTGGACTTTTGCATCTGTTATAGACTAATTTCAGGGTGCTGATTCCAAATCTGATCTCAGATTTGCTCTATCACATCTCATGTTTATGCTATCGGCATACCCCATTTTCATTGATTTTACCCGAAATTAACTCTGTCACTTATGATGGCAAGTTGTTGCGAGTCAGTGACTGCTTTAGTGTTAAAATATGGTGCTGTATTTTAGGATAGTGTGTTTATAATATAATTTTATGTAGATATCCACATTTATTTAATATTTTCTTCTGCAGTTTTTATTGAAAATGCAATATTTGATATCTTTAAAACCTGATGTGATAGACAAAAACTGATGCCAGATTTGGAATCAGCACCCCAAATTACCTTAATACCGTTGGAATACCTTATGCCAGAAAAAGTGTGTTGACCAGTGTAATCTAACCACAAATTGAGCAGGGGCACGTAAGTACAACTACTGTGTTTCATCAAACCGATGTATTTAGGTCTTTTTTATTGAGGTTGTTTTAACGACTGAGAATGAAAGGGGTGCAAATGCTGCAGTAAAGGTTAAGAACCACTTCTTTACGCAATACTTTGAAAAATAGGGCTTAACGAATTGTGGGAAAGGTTCCATTGGGACAAAACAACTGTGAAGGAAATAATCCAGGTGGCACGCTGGAGTCATTCCAATTTGACGAACCCGGCCCATTAAACAAAGAGAGTGTTTATATCGGTGGGAAGTGCTTAGAATGTTTTTTAAAAAAAATCTTTGACAAAGGCTCCTTTGTCGAACTGAATATCCTCAAGTGTTCCAATCGTCCCTCGGGCACAATGTACAAAGACAGCCATGGTTTAAAAGCAACCCGGACACTCACTCAAGGCACATTTCTTTTACGGAGCTATGAAATACCAAAAATGTGACGTGTAAATTCGTCAGCGTCACCATCAACGCTTAGAATTTATACCGCGACTCCAAAGCAGGACATCTCGAGGTGCCCTTTCAGCAGTCGAGCCACGGGCAACCTCCAGCGGCAGCTTTCCCAGTGACAGTGCCGGTAGAACGCAGCAACACCACCGGCTTTGCAATCGGCCACTCCGTCTGCCAACGGGGTGCGATGATGCCCATGTAGCTTTTACCAACTTTGAAAAATTATAATACTCCGACTGATGCTCCTGCTGTTGTGGAGTGACTTATGCAGCCAGCAATGGCTGCAGGGTTTTGGTAGTACATGTTGTTTATGCCATTTATTTTGAAAATTCCGTCACAGTTCCTATGATCACTGTTTCATTGCTTTCATGGCTTTATTTTGGTGATTTCGAAAAGTGTATTGGTTTAGCCATGTTTGTTTGTTGTAGTACGGAGTTAGACTGATGGCCTTAATCTAAGTTGTCTTGTGGTTGTTGTTGGTTGTTTGACTTGCATCCCACTGGGATTTTTGCACACAACGTTGGTGTACGGTGTTTTTTTCTGCAATATTTTTCTGTCACATATTCACTTTAAGATGTTTTTGTTCATGTTTTTGTTTTTTGTTTGTTGCGGTTGCACCCGATTCAAGAGCCGAATGGCTCACAGGGCTCTATACCTAATAAATGAACTTGAACTTGAGTGATTTACAAGTCCAGTTTTCGAACTTGGCAGATTTGGACCGTGATGGCAGCACACAATCTCTACGCTTTTTTGTTCTTTAGAATAACATCACCTGATCTTTAAAGTCCGCTGTGAAGCAGATTCCGCGTAGCTGTGGTTTATACTGCGGGCCTTGTCACCGACCTTGACTTCAAGCTTTCGTGACTGCAGGAATTCATATTCTTGGGTCTTTCGGTAAAGTCACGTAGATAGGTTCAAAGAAAATAAAAAAAATAATAAATAAAAATAAACTAAAAACTACGACGTTTCAATCGCAACACAAGTGGGCGTCTTCAGGAAAAGGGGGGTTAGCTTCCAAACCAAACTGTTTATAAGGATTTGAAATGGGCATAGCCCAAATGTCAGATCTGAAACACGGTAGGACCAATACCTTGGCCGTGGCTGATCATTATTTGAATGCGGTGAGCTCACACGAACTTGATTTCTCTAAGACGAAGATACTTTGCACGCCCACTGGCTATCAACAAAGATTCGTTCATGAAGCCATCCATTTTTAGACACAGACACAATTTCAACCGAGAAGATGGGTACAAACTGAGCAATCATTGGAAGGACGTTATCAACCAGTTTAAGTCATAATTCGCTGTGATGTTCCCATCCTACCACCTTCCGATGTTAGTTGTGCTTTACACCCATTTCAAACTTTCACAGGGTTCACACTCAGTCACTTCACGCGCCAACCTCCTGGTTGCGGCTCTGCAATCTGCCATTAAATGCTAATCTCTCATTAACATGCTATTTTTCACCTGGCAGCCCTTTGATTGGTGGAAAACCAACCACCGGTCGGGTTGGCTGCCCACCACTTGCATTATCATTGGCTGCTGACATCTGGGCTACGCCCATTTCAAACCCTTATAAAGTTTGCCTTGAAGCCTAACCCCCCTTTTCCTGAAGACGACCGCTTGTGTTGCGATCGAAACGTGGTAGTTTGTTTTATTATTTTTATTTTCTTTGAACCTATCTACGTGATTTTACCGAAAGACCCAAGAATATACTACTCTCACTGCACGAGCCAATCGTGAATGCAGACTCATCAAGGGCCAACCCATCCATGAAGACTACGGGACCCGCCCAATCACCACCTGAAATGGAGCAAGTCGTTCTTGAGTAAAGCCAGAGAACCCTCTTACACATTCGGGCTTCAGCACCCTGGGAGAAATGGCGAAATTTTGGCGAACACAGAGGGACCACCTAAGAGATGTAATCTAACCTTCAAAAAAACGCTGGCCCGTGTTATATTGAATCCTCACGTCTCACTGCAGATCCACCCCCCGACCTTCCGTACAAATCCAAAGAAAGAACAGCTTTCGATCGTGGAAAATCCAACCGAACCATCGCCCACATTAGTCGCGAACCACCGTGAACTCTACGTACACATCTAAGCAATCCATCGTGTCACCAGGAGCCAAACCCTGGCTAAACGAATCTGGACACACAGCCTTTTATATTGTTACTAGCTGTACTACCCGGCTTCGCCCGGGACTTGTATCTACCACGGCCGGCCGCCTTTGTCTCCCCAGTAGGCGATGTTAATACGCTACAGTAGTTAAGTTACTCGTTTGAGGCAGAGTCGACCTAGGGGAGGTTCAAATAATCGTCACCGGTGGTGGCCGTGAGCGGGAATCGAACTGGGTTTGCCGGGTTGGTAGCGCAGCGTAGCGTTAAGCACTACACCCACCGCTCCTCACACACCACACACGCACAGACACACACACAGACACACACACAGACACACGCAGACACACACAGACAGAAACACACACACAGACAGCACGCTAACCACTACACTACCGCTCCCCACACACCACACACGCACACACACAGACACACACACAGACACACACACAGACACACACACACAGACACACACACACAGACACAGGCAGCACGCTAAGCACTACACTACCGTTCCCCCTACACAACACACGCGCGCGCGTCCATTGCTGCAGACACACACGACTTTCAGGGTGCATACGGCAGTAAACGACTGAAATAATAAAGCGGCAATGCTGTGTAAGGAACGCCTTAGACCCGCATTATACATTTGTGTAATGCGAGCGTAAACACACAAACACACACAAACACATACACAATACACACACACATACATGCAGACACACAGACAGACACATAACACACATACATACACACACATACAAACACAGAAACACATACACACACATACATAGACACACACATACATACACACGAACACATCCACAGACGTACATACACACATACATACAGGCACGCAGACATACACATAAACACATACAAAAAAACCCACATACATACACACACACATACATACACACAAACACATGCACACACATACATACACACATGCATACAGACACACAGACATACACATAAACACATACACACATACACATGACCCGGCTTCGCCCGGGACTTGGATCCACCACGGCGGCAAAACCGACATACATACACACACAGACATACACACAAACACATACACACACATACATACACACATGCATACAGACACACAGACATAAACATAAACACATACACATGACCCGGCTTCGCCCGGGACTTGGATCCACCACGGCGGCAAAACCGACATACATACACACACAGACATACACACAAACACATACACACACATACAAACACACATGCATACAGACACACAGACATACACATAAACACATACACATGACCCGGCTTCGCCTGGGACTTGGATCTACCACGCCCAGCCGCCTTTGTCTCCCAAGTGCCGATGTTAATACGCCACACCAGTTACTCGTTTGAGGCTGAGTGGACCTAGGGGAGGTTCAAATAATCGTCACCGGTGGTGGCCGTGAGCGGGAATGGAACTGGGTTCGCCGGGTTGGTAGCGCAGCGTAGCGTTAAGCACTACACCCACCGCTCCTCACACACCACACACGCACAGACACACACACAGACACACGCAGACACACACAGACAGACACAGACAGACACACACACACACAGACAGCACGCTAAGCACTACACTACCGCTCCCCACACACCACACACGCACACACACAGACACACACACAGACACACGCAGACACACACAGACAGACACAGACAGACACACACATACAGACACAGACAGCACGCTAAGCACTACACTACCGTTCCCCCTACACAACACACGCGCGCGCGTCCATAGGTACACATACACGCGCTTGCTGCAGACACACACGACTTTCAGGGTGCGTAAGGCAGTAAACAACTGAAATAATAAAGCGGCAATGCTGTGCGAGGAACGCCTTAGACCAGCAACACATTTGTGTAATGCGAGCGTAAACACACAAACACATACAAACACATACACACACATACACACACATACACACAAACACATACACACAGACATACACATACACACAAACACACACATACATGCACACAAACACATACACAATACACACACACATACATGCAGACACAGACAGACACATAACACACATACATACACACACATACATACACAAAAACACATACACACACATACATACACACACATACATACACACAAACACATGCACACATCGTACATACACACATACATAGAGACACGCAGACATACACATAAAGACATAAAAAAAACCCACATACATACACACACACATACACACAAACACATACATACACATACATACACACATACATAGAGACACACAGACATACACATAAACACAAACACACATACACATGACCCGGCTTCGCCCGGGACTTGGATCCACGATGCCCCGCCGCCTTTGTCTCCCCAGTGACGATGTTCACACACGACAGCAAGTTACGCGTTTGAGGCTGAGTGGACCTAGGGGAGGGCCAGGTCCGTTTCAAATAATCGTCAGCGGTGGTGGGCGTGAGTTGGAATCGAACTGGGGTCGCTCAAGCAGCTTAATGACTGTTTGTACAAAGAACATATAAAGAATCGATTATAATAACCAGGCTACAGTCCACATTATAGACTGCCAGTACACGCAGTCAGCTTCATAAGCAGGCTAGAGTGTACATGATAGAGTGCCAGTACGCTCACCGAGCTTAATAAGCAGGCTACAGTGTACATGATAGACTGGCAGTACGCTCACCCAGCTTAATGAGTAATTGTACAGTGAACATTAAAGTAATCGATTGTTGGCGCGTTGGGTTTAAAAGTAATATTAATAGCACACATTGTGGTGGGGGTGTAGTGAAGAGTAGGAAAAACTTTGATGAATTTACCTCAGAGTGGCGTGGTGGGTGTCGAGGCCTAGTAGCGTGCAAAGCCTGCGGCCTCGCCTAAAATTGTCGGCTTGGAAGAGGCAGGGTACGGGTGGCGTTCCTTCCCCCCCCCTCAGCGCTCCAACAATACTGTGTAATGGCTATTATTTAATTAAATACGGAGCTTATGAAAGTGGCGAAGGCGTGGCTAGCCATTGGCAGGGGCAACCGCCGTCCAATGAAACTGCAGCCCTTGGCGAAGGCGTCGCTAGCCGTTGCCAGGTCCAATGAAAGCGGCGAAGGCGTGGCTAGCCGTTGCCAGGGGCAACCGCCGTCCAATGAAAGTGCGTATGGGCCGAAATACACACACACACACACAGACAGACAGACATGAACGATTTTATATATATAGATTCATCCACCCAGCTACACACAAGAAGTATCGAGTCAGTGTCATTGTACCTTGCATCTTAAGAGTTTATTCAGAGGCCGTATGCAACGTCCAAAATGCGATTTTCAACAATGCCACCAATCCAAAAAATAAAACACCGAGGACAACCATGGCTATACTGTCGTGATTAATCCTAACATTGATGAAACCGGTATTAGAGCTGTCTAATTGTCCTACTGTGGCCCAAAGTAATGTAACTCGGTGGTTTTAAATAAGGCCGTGTGCGTTATACGTGCAGTGTGGTCATGCCATGTCTCATACAAGGCAAGATGGAAAAACTTGGCCTACGATAACAATCACCGTATGCATGTAATATTGCTCATCGTATTCAGCCTGCACACACTTTTCTGCTGGATGATCTTCTCATCATTTACAGTAGGCGTTCAATGAAGAGCATCTGTTAAAGATTAAACGGGGAAGTGTTGGAATTGGTTTGCCAACAGGTAGCGTCGATACGCCATGACCAACTGCGCAGTCACATCTCTGGAATCGCGAGTGCTCCCCACTCGGATTGCAGTGCAAGTCGCGTTTTGCACACTCCCACGTGCTCAACGCAAAAACGGGAACCCGTCACACGAGCCTGATAGTTTTGCGCCCTGAGCTTCTAAAAATAAAAATCTATTATCATTATAAATAGCGTAGGCTTCGTCTCTCCAGACGCAAACGTGGACGGCAACGGTTGCTGTGTGGCGTGCGTGGAGGAGAGCAAGGTTGGTAGGGGATGGGTGGTGCTTCGAAAAATATCTCACGTTGGATCAGAATTGTTCCCACTTAGCAGGTGTGGCCACAGCAGGCAACCGAAGATGGCGCAGACTTATGTAACGACGTAGAAATTGTGCCCTCTTCAATTACACCTGCCGATTGCACCTCTTGCGGGAAAGTTGCCAACTCGTATCAGCCTCGATTTCATTACTTTTCATTTGGGAAAACGAACGCAACCTGCGCAGCACCCACGTGTGTGTGTGTACGGATACCCGAGCTTCATCAATTAACACTAAGAATGGATAAAAATGTGGTGATTAATGTCATGCACATGGGCGTAGATATCGGGTGTGTAGGCGGGGCAATTGTGTTAGAGCAAACTTAGCCAGACTTGCCCAGGCACGGGGCTACAATGGGAGTTGGAGGGAAAAGTGCAACAATGGCAGCGGGGAGGGGATTCCAATTTCATTCCCTGCACCAGAGCTCATGCCAACCACGCCACGGCACGCCACTGATGACACACTATGTCTCCTGATATGTTATTAAGGTCTTTCGAATGTGTATATGTGTAGTTAAGTGAAACCTACATAGTGATGACCACCGCCAAGCAGTGGCCCAGTTATAACATCCACCAACATTCAGAAACAAAGCACCTCTCGCACGTAATTTAAATCTAACCGGTCACCCAGGCACGCGCCGCAGTCTTGGCACCGTCGCATGTCAGTTGATGTTTCACCATAGGTCGTGCAAAAACCAAAAAAAGCTTTGCCTGATAATAACAAAAAAAAGAACAACTTAGTCGACTGTGAGAGAGAGGTGCGATGAGGTGGGTCGGACTCTGGCGGTCACTTGACGAGGTCCCGCACGTAGGTCCAGCCCTGGCCCGCCCACTCTCCCGATCGCTGGGGCAGATTCGACAGCGCCAATATGGAGGTGTGAACGCCTGTGGTTGGGAACACACATGCGCATTCCAAGATAACGTTCGGTTCCAATTTCATTTCTCTCAAAACGTGTTTCGGTACTGTCTCAAGCCACGCGCAGCAAGCTGCATGTGAAGCGACCAGTGTTTTGATGCCTTAGCGGCAGCACGGAAGTCCACGTGCCGAAACTCCAGCAGGGCGCGCCTATATGTGTTTAAAACCTGCGGTGGTCACGTTGTTTGTTCTTTAAATACCTGAGTTCCAGGCAGATTTCACTGTTTCGCAGACGCCCACACCACTGGGAACCTGCAAATTGTCACACGGTGAGTTACGGGCACAAGCTTCATAAACACCGGGGGGCGCGTGAGCAAAGTGAGCCGTAACCAGATGGATTCCAACACGTTTTGGCACGAACGTAAAAGCCAAAAAAGTTTGTGGAGGTTTAAGATTCCTGGTGAAATAAAAAACGTTACTTTATTTATGTTGCGCACAAATATTCAGCGAAAATTCCCCACGGGTCACGGAGCTAAACTGAGCAACGTCTAACCAAATGAAACAACAAATCTTTGACGGAGCGGGTTGTGCAATAGGACTAAAATAAATATGGGATAAACATTGTACAAAGTCGTGCGTGTTTTATTTTGCTAGAATGTGTGAGCGTTACATTCAGAACAGAACGCAAAGCCTTCTATTTAACATTCACAAACACATTGTGTTCTTTACACGCTATAATGTCCTGTCACAGTGGCAATATATACAATTAATCCCTGTTTATATTCATGCTAGTGCCATATCTTGAGGTTTTTATACAAGCAGACAGATAAGTAACCACGCCAGTCTGCAAAGTTATCGCATGAGAATCCGAGCATTGACTTGGATGATATTTCCAGAATCAATGATTTCGATATATCCACGTTAATATCTCAACGGAAGATGAACTGTCAGCAAGTATAACTATCTGTTTCTATTTTGGCATTGAGCGCATTCCAACAACAGTTTGCGTTTGCTAGCCTCAAAAAATGCACATGTCAAGCAGTAAACAGCATGAACAGAGCACCTCCTGGTGGCATACTTTAGGGTATTGCAGTGTGAAAGATGGGATCTCAAGGCTGCACTAAACACAATGCAACACATTATCGGCCAATCGAGACAGCTCCACCCAAGTCTGATTACACATTCGATTAGAAGGGACAGCAGGTGACTTTCCACAGTAGATACATTTCTTTACACATTAAACATTTGACGTGCAGTGTTTCAATCGTGCAAATTCAGCCCCCCATCCGACTCTCCCCCCCCCATCCGATGTACAGGAGCAGTATGAGCAGTATACCCAGGAGCATCACGTCCACCCTTAGGATGAGCCTCTCCAGCCCACCCCCGCCCCCACACTCACCCTGCTATCGTCCCCCCCCCCATCCTCCTCAGCTATATAAACCAGAGGTCGCAAACGGGTTTTGATTCCTTACCCGTACCCGGCCGCACCAGGGTCGCAAACGGGTACCCATACCCGTACCCTACCCGTACCCGGCCGGGTACGGGTAGGGTATCGGGTATCGGGTCCCTGATTGCGACCTCTGGGATGAAGCCATGTTGCAGGCGCGGGTGGGTTGATTCTAGGAACTTGAATTGTGAGAAGAGACAAGACGTTGGGAAATGAGTGACAAACGGTGACTCACCAGTGACTCACGGCCTACCCGTACCCGTACCCGGCCGCACCAGGGTCGCAAACGGGTACCCGTACCCGGCCGGGTACGGGTAGCCGGGTATCGGGTAGGGTACGGGTATCGGGTACCCGGTTGCGACCTCTGGTCCACCCTTAGCATTCGCCTCTCCAGCCCACGCCCCGCCCCCACACTCACCCTGTCATCGTTTCCCCCCCCACCCTCCTCAGTTATATAAATCCTTGTCAAAGCCATCTCTTCGGCATACCTCAGCAACTGTTTTCGCTGTGGTGGTCCCCACCTGATGAAGGACGCTTGTGTTATGCCCGAAACGTCGTGACTTAATTTAGTTGTTTTAACTTTATTATTATTATTTTATTATTATTTTCACCTACGTAACTTTACCGAAAACTTCAAATCTAGAATGGTGCATACTAACCTGAAGTAAATGTTGACGCATAGCGAATGAAGAGAAGCAATAGAGGCAGTAAAAATAGTATATATTTTTAAAAGTACCAATTCGTGCTTAAAATTACAACTCAGAATTGTAACAATTCATAGAATGGCTGGCGGGGAAGAGGAGGGGGGTAAGGTGAATCATCCATACAGAATACCCATACATACGTACAATCAACCATCCGTTACGTGCCTACGAGCCACCATGGGTTGCTGTGGGCATCTGAGTGGGTGCTGATGATGGAGTGGGTGTAATCTCGCCTCACAAGAGTGGCAGAGGAAAATCAACCAAGTTTCAAGGATTCCGTGGGTGGGTGTTGACATATGGAGAGCACAGTGAGTGTGGTGTTAGGGTGATGATCGCCATAATTTTCAAGGGCAAACTTCATAGCAACTGTTGCTGGCAGTTGTCACCTGCAATGTATTTACTATGGGCAACTATGACACCATGGTACGGCAATGGCAAAGAATGACGGAGGTTTGATCTGTAAACGTGGACTTCACGGAATCGAAACATTTAAACTGGAGGAAACCCATGAGCTCTAAAGCTCTTTTTCACAGATGTCCAGTACACAACCTCGGGCTGTCACATGACCCCTGCGATCTCATTGGAAGCTGTCATCTCAAATGCGCACTTGGTAAAATGGCAATCAGATTTGTTGGGATTTGGGTCGATACATTTTTGATACGATAAAGAACTGCGGCAATTACTGTTGGTCTTCTTCTTATTCTGTCATACGGCTGATGTAGATGCAGAGCAACAACTACAATTTCACATTCAGGCGGTCAAGCCAGACAACCGCATCAGGAGCAGCAGAGTGTGTCGCTGTAATGTCTCCTTTGTATTTGTGCATCATCAGGCATTGCGTCGTTATGTGTTGTGCGGTCTGTTCTGGATGACCACAGTTTCACACTGGAGAGTTTTACATTTTCCACTTGTGCATCAGGTATTCGCATCTGCCATGGTTTGTGCGATGGATGCGATTTAGGGTGGACCATGAGCTTTGTGGAAGATCAATTACTGTTGGTGTTGACTGCCTATAAAATTGCACTGTTATGTCATGGCCATAAGAGTATTGGATGCCTGGGCTCCAAGTGCGATGTTCCCACCTTTGGCAGGTATGGGCCAACGTACGGTCCCAAGTATTTATTCAGCACGGGGCTGACTGTGTCCCCGAGGCGGGAGAGGGCTCCCTCCCCATCCTCGCCATCACGAAACACGCCTTGCGAGCTCGCAACGTACACGGCGCCTCCAGCCAACCCCAGCTTGACGCTCAGCCTAATGGGAAAAGTCACATTGCCGTTAGAACCACCAGAATAACTCATAACATATATTATTAACATCACTGCCGTCATCACCATAGTATTTATCATCACCGTAATGACCATCACAAGAGACGTTATCACGATGACCACGATTATCATATCTACTGCCACCATTATTATTGGAACCTATATTACCATCACCTCCTTCACCACCGCTATTGCTAAGAGATGACAGTAGTACTGCTGTTTTGCCGATCTACTGCTGGATGAGGGCATCACAAAGCCATGAAGATCGTGGGAGTTATATGACCAATACAGTACTTCACCAAGCGTTGGCGAAAGTCTAGTTGTGCAATTCGGTATAATCATTGAGCTTGCTTCCCGGCTGCCATCTGTTGGTCAAAACGTAGCAGCAGAGCAGCCAATAATCACGACCTGTTTAATATATGGTGGTGGCCCATCCAAAACCAGTATCGAGGGCTCAATCCCCGCTTAGCTTTCGAGATCAGGCCGCACACATCACGAGCCATGGGCAGATAGCCCGTGACGTGTCCACTGCACATGTCGTCATTTGTTTCCACTTGCCTCTGTCTGGTGCCAATATGCTCAAGTACTGGCCAAATATTATTGGTTCTTTCGGTAAAGACACGTAAAAGGGAAATAATAAAATATGTTATTATATTCCTTCTACGTGACTTTAATACAAATATTTTATTAGTTCCCTTCTACGTGACTTTACCGAAAGAACCAAGAATATGAATCCCTGCAGTCACGAACGCTTTAAATCGAAATTTACTGGCCACATCTTTCTGGCACCGATCTCTTATGTCGTCATCAAGCCATTCTCTGTGAAGTCTTCCCATCTGTCCGGTTCCTTCCATTATGCCGAACAACGCACTTGACATGTTCCTGTTGTTGTTCCATACCTGTCAACCCCTTTTCAGTGCCCTACCTTATTACAGACCAATGCAGACCTTATTGGTCACCCCGTGCCCTTATAAATCTCAACGTTCATCCTACAAAGTCCCACCACAAGGGAGAAACACAAAGACAAAAAGCATTTTTGCCCGTATTGAAACGGCTGTACACTGTATGGACCTGAAAACTCAATTTCCCTGTACAAGAATACTAGGTAAACCGTATGGGTTGACACGGTATGGTGTTCACCCTACATATGTGTCCAAATAGTGCAAGTTTCCTTCTCATCACTGCCTGCATCAGGCACCATTCCGGGTTAATTGGTCATAGACAATGTCTAATAATCTATACTGCCCAGTAATCCAAAATTGTGATTCTACCGATTACTATTGCTACACGATAATCACAATTACAACAGTAACGTGCAGAATATTAGCGAATTAAAAACGTATTGAACACGTGTAAGACGCATACTTTCAAGCGATATTCGGCATCTTGCAACGTTGCAATAATGTACGTATTGATAATACATGTTATTTTTTTTTGGGTTAGATCGCGTAAATTAAAATGTGTCGTTAAAACCCGCCACCACCCGACACACCCAAATTAGTAAGGTTTGTCATGTAAACAGAAAATACCAATCCGTTACGAGTGTGTTGGAGAGTAAATCCAGCCAGATGGCTGTCCGCCTGATGAAGCCAGTTGTAATTACTAGCGAAACGTCGTACTTAGATTGTAAATGTTGTGGCTTTGCTCTCCAACACACCGGTGTGCTGTACGAGTAACGAATTGACACGTTATGTTTACGTGACAAACCTTACTAATTGGTTGTGTCGGGTGGTGGCGAGTTTAACGACACATTTATATTTACGCGATCTAACCCCCCAAAGAAACCCTATATTGTGTATATTGTTTGCGAAAGCCTGCTACGTGTTAAAATGTACGTATTGTATTCATGGTTAGAGCACACAGTAAAAGCCTCGACGTATGCCTCGCTTAACATTCGTCTCACATCAGCGCCAGCAAAACGTCACAAACAATACCCACGGACAAAGTAACATTTTACAAACGTAACAATAAACTCAAATTATCTAAATAACGGTAAACTTTTATATTATCAGACACCGTAAGGAGGGAGGCGGCTCGGCCTTGCGGTCCCCCTGGGCGAGCGCCGCCTGACGACGGCATAAAATCTAGGCAAGCCCATAGGCTCCGCAGTGGGCCTACTCGGTCAGCCGTCAAGGTGTCATCTGAATGTCAAGTTCTCCACTCAAGGTTAGCCTCGAAATGTTGCAACGATGTTTTTAAAAGTCGACGCTAAGCCTATCGGCAGCCTCCACTTACTTCGCCGCTTTAAAGAGAGCCATCCGGGCCGCGATTCGGAGCCTCTTGGACGATGGGATTGCGGCTGGAGACCAACAGCGCCCGGCGCGGTTCTTGGGTTTCAACACCCCGAGGTGAAATCCGCGGTCACCGAGGGAAGTGAGGGGGGGGTGTGGAGGGGGGGGCCCTCGTTATTCGCGGACCCTCAAATCCGCGGTCACCGAGGGAAGTGAGGGGGGGTGGAGGGTGGGGGCCCTCGTTATTCGCGGACCCTCAAATCCGCGGTCACCGAGGGAAGTGGAGGGGGGTGGAGGGTGGGGGCCCTCGTTATTCGCGGACCCTCAAATCCGCGGTCACCGAGGGAAGTGGAGGGGGTGGAGGGTGGGGGCCCTCGTTATTCGCGGACCCTCAAATCCGCGGTCACCGAGGGAAGTGGAGGGGGTGGAGGGTGGGGGCCCTCGTTATTCGCGGACCCTCAAAATCCGCGGTCACCGAGGAAGTGGAGGGGGTGGAGGGTGGGGGCCCTCGTTATTCGCGGACCCTCAAATCCGCGGTCACCGAGGGAAGTGGAGGGGGTGGAGGGTGGGGGCCCTCGTTATCCGCGGACCCTCAAATCCGCGGCGCACCGCGACTGCAGCTTTTGCCGCTCACTGCGCATGCGCGCCTAACGCATTTGTCAAGTTCGTTGATTAGGTGTATAGCCCTGTGAGCCATTCGGCTCTTGAATCGAGTGCAACCGCAACAAACAAAAAACATGAACAAGAAAACATCTTAAAGTGACTATGTGACTATGTGCAAACAGAAAGTCCAAGAAAAGACAGCAACATATTGCAGAAAAAGCACCGTACACCAACGCTGTGTGCAAAAATCCCAGTGGGATGCAAGTCAAACAACAACAACCACAAGACAACTTAGATTAAGGCCATCAGTCTAACTCCGTACTACAACAAACAAACATGGCCAAACCAAAAAACTTTTCGAAAATCACCAAAATAAAGCCATAAAAGCAATGAAACAGTGATCATAGGAACTGTGACCGAATTTTCACAATAAACGACATAAACAACATGTACTACCAAACTCTGCAGCCATATAGCTGGCTGCATGAGTCACTCCACAACAGCAGCAGGAGCATCAGTCGGAGTATCAACAATAGCTGCGCCTCGCAAAGGAAACGCGTTGTGGGTTTACTCTCCAACACACGGTGTGTGCTGGAGCAGTAAGGAATCGGTACGTGTTCTGTTTACGTGATAAACCTTAGGGGCCGTCCATAAATGACGTCACGCACCTAGGGCGGGGGGGTCAGACATTTGTGACGATGTGTTTTTATTTTATTTTTATACCTACGTGCATTTATCGAAAGAACCAAAGTGTAAGTGTGGGGGGGGGGGGGTGAGAAATGTGACGTCACATCAAAATGCGCAATTTTAAATATAGACAACACGTTCTACTTAATTAAATAGACGTTTTAATAAATGTTTTCTCCTACATCAGAGTGCAGCGCCACATTAAATACGCACTACAATGACAATAGTTTAAAGCGATTTGAAGCATGTTTTCTTTTTTTGGGGGGGGGGCAGAGCTTTGTGACGTCATTTAAGGGGGCGGGCCTGACTTTTTGTGACGCCGTGTGATGGGGGGGGTCAAAAATCGTCCCAAATCGCGTGACGTCATTTATGGACGGCCCCTTACTAATTGGCTGTGTGGGATGGTGGTGGGTTAAACGACACATTTATATTTACGGAATCTAACTCCCCCCCACCAAAAACTGTATATTATGGATAAGAAGTCACGCTTTGGGCCATTTCATTTCTTCTTAGCAATGCGCTTTAAAGTATGGCCATTTCCCAAAAAATCACCGATTCTTTTGACCTTTAAAGGCCACGGGTGTTGGCAAATTCGTGTTTTTGTTGCTGTTAATTACGTTTGTGAGCCACTTGCCGTATTACCAAATAACGTTTCAAATTCAGCGCAGGGTGGTTCAAGATTCCCGTTGTTGTACTGCCATCGCCTGCGCCACCCTTTCCAATATCCAAAATTATGAAAAAAATTAACCCGTAAAAACAAAGTTTTTCACTATAAATCCTTTATATGCGTGGCGGCTAAAGTCCTCTCGTCCTCTGGCTTGAGATGGCTGCCACCTATGGGTCAGATGATTGCCTGCCACCATTAAACAATTGGTAATTAAATATAATTTATTTTTTCCTAAAAAGTGTAAAATTTAGGGAAAAAAATTTCACGAAAATAAATTGTCACGCACAACGAGTCTGTGTGCAAAATGTCAGCTCGATTGGATCACGGGAAGTGGGTTAAAAAACGACCGAAAGATTTGCACGGTCGTAAGCACGCAAGCAAGCAAGTGAACTTAATATAAAGGATTTAAAAATAAGAATGAGTCTTACATCCTTTCTGGCAATGAAACGGGTGTTAAGATGTTCTATTTGGTGTTTGAACATTTTAACACGCGCTTTCTTGCCAGGAAGGCTAAAACCTGTTAATTTTCATCAGGCCATACCGTAAGGGTGTAAATGACAGGCGAAACTTCACCAGTTTAGTACAATGACTGCAGTTTAACCCATGCACTGCTTGGCTGATCGTCAAGAATAGCGATGGAATTGTGAAATGGCGATGGCTTTCAGAGGTCTTCATCCAGAAGTGGTCAACTTAACATTTTGAGCGCTCAGTTACAATAATTCCTATTTGCTCGTCACAGCCAAAGTGTAGACACGACATCATTAACGCTCATCAACATTTAAGCCATATCCAGAGAAACAAACAAAACTGCTAAGCCAGGTGACCTCAAGCTGGCATCGACGATTGCCTGGGTTTGAATCCAGGCTGCTGTCCGTCATTCAACTGTGTTCTTAAGTGTAGCCGATGGTCTCGGCTGTGTCACCAATAACTGCACAAAAAGACTATTTCAGATGTGGTTAACGCACTCAACTTTGGTTAAATTCCAGTTGAGAGAATTACCGATCGATAATTATCCAGTGGCTTCGGGGAGGTGGGCACTGGATAATCACAAATCATTATTTAAAATAGCTTATTTTTACGCAGTTTTTTGGTGTTTTAAATGTTTACGATATGAAATAGGCATGAACATACAAATAGAGAAAAATGTATATCCTACTTTAAAGTTACTGTATTTACTGTACCATACTTATCACTCCAATCTCGAAGACTTTGCATGGGGCAATGTGTATACGTGCATTATTTTCATTAAATTGTACGTAGTGTATAGTGTGCTGTATTTATTAGATACTGAAATAAAGTATTGCTACTTTTTTGTCAAGAACATGGTGCCGATCGCTGGACTGGTTACAGCCTTTAGAGAGGTCCGTTAAATCGATCGCAGAATTAGTTTTGCGACATCTCCTTCTGCGAACTGTTCCGTGACAAGGGTCGATGCAACCCTCTGCGGCAGCTCCGGATGGATTCATCTCGCGATGCCAATAGCGCAATAAAACTTGAGGAACAAGACAAAAACACACGAGCACATTTATTTTCACGGGACACTTTAAATTTATTGTGATTTTATTGCTGGAGGATATGGCATCCAAGAGGATATGGAGCAATGGAAACAGGTCGTGTGCAGAGACACTTGATGGATTGTTACATCGCAGAAGTGAGAGATGTAATCGACTTGGCTCGGCCTTCACCCAGCAGTAGATAGATCATGGGCGATGATGACGATAGTACAGTCAAAACATAATTTACACTTTTACATCGAAAAAATATAGATTTAAAATGTTTTCTAAACATACCGAGTTGTTATTTTACATGTGCTATCGTAAAATCATTCGTATTTTTTCAACTGCGTGAAAACCAAAACGTGGATACTACTATGTAAAGTGGTCCAACGTTGCTTTGCTCCATTTTCTGGGTTCCCTGGAGAAAAACATCGGACATCGTGGCGAACAGCGCAAGGGCAACAACCCGCAAAAGAAACACATTGGACGAACCAAGCTGGTAGAGGTCGCAACCGGGTACCCGATACCCGTACCCTACCCGATACCCGGCTACCCGTACCCAGCCGGGTACGGGTAGCCGTTTGCGACCCTGGTGTGGCCGGGTACGGGTACGGGTAGGCCGTGAGTCACTGGTGAGTAACCGTTTGTCACTCATTTCGGATAGGGTACGGGTAGGGAACGGCTACCCGTACCCGGCCGGGTACGGGTAGCCGTTTGCGACCCTGGTACGGCTGGGTACGGGTAAGGAATCAAAACCCGTTTGCGACCTCTGCATGCTGGGAAAGCGAGACGTTCCCCCATGGCCACTCGACGACTTCCGCAATAACACGCAAAGGGGCTAACTGTGTTTGCCACCGGCCGCCACCGTTGGGGGGGAAGAGGTCACCCCCAGAAGTCGTTGGAGTCCACGGAGGAGCGGATGGTGTCCATGTTCTCGCGGCGTATTGTCGTGTAGACGTTGGCCTCGCCTTTCTGCAACCGGCGCCGTGCGGCGGCCTTCTGCTGCTTCGTCAGCTGGCGCTTCACCTTCATGCGGATTACGTCCTGCGACGGGGGAAGAATTAAATGAGGGGGGGCGGTAGGGTGGGGACGTCACGAGTGTTGGTTAAGAGCCAGGATGGCGAGATGTTAACGACCTCACCTGGTATACACAGGAGCTCGTGAGTTCCATCCCGACCCTGAAGCCTGCTGTCTATTTGGAGTTTGCATGTTATCCACATGTTTGCGAGGATTTTTCTCTGGGTCCTCCGTTTTTTTTCCTCCACATTAAGAAAACATGTGTTTAGAGTATTTGGCTGCTATAAATTTCCACGTTATAAGCCACTTTGTTGAGATATCATTTGTGGCCAGGTCGCTTCTGAAAAAGAGCTACATAGTTCAGTGGGCCTTACCTGGTAAAATTAAAAAGTTGAGTGTAATAGTTTAGTTTGGTTAAGTAGAGCTGATGAGATACAGGAACGGTAGTATTGGCACCTAATTGATGGCGTTATCCTTTTGCCAGCAGTAATTTGTTGAAGTCTCACAAATTAGTGGCGACTGTTATACCATTCTGCTCCTACAGGTATAATATACACGGCTTTGTTTTAGACCACCCACCAAAATAGTCAAAATCGTGGCCATATTATTCTAGAAAGGAGCAGGACAAAGAGACACGTGTATCCTTAAATTTTGATTTAAAGCTTTCGTGACTGCAGGGATTCATATTCTTGGTTCTTTCGGTAAAGCCACGTAGAAAGGAAAACAATATTTTATCACATAGAAGGAAAACAATAAAATATTGTTTCCCTTCTATGCGACTTTACCGAAAAAAACAAGAATATAAATAAGTGTATCCTTGTTAGGAATCATCAATAAACTTTAGCCAACATTGCCTACAGCTGTTTAGTGCTTCAGGGACCTGATATGGACACGAACCCAGCTACCCGAATTCGATTCCCACTCACGGCCAACACCGGTGACAAATATCTGAACCGGTCCCGAGCTTTCCCGCTAGGTCGACTCAGCCTCAAATAAGTACCTGGTGCAATGTGTAAACATCGCCACTTTGAAGACAAAGGCGGGGGGGCGTGGTGCTGGCCACCCGCCACCTCGTGTGCCGTGCCGGCCTTCATAGGTGCTCGCCAACAGCACTTGCTCCGACAGTCTGTTACAGGCTGTGAGTGGGATATTTGATCTTTTGCCTTTGCATGACTCACAGGAGCGATGGTGGAGTGGCTGCTAAGGAAGGATGTCCCAGAGCACTCGCTGTCTGTCCGGTGCCGACGGCTGGAGGCGAGATGCTCGTTCAGGTGCTGCAGGCTTTCCTCATCTCTGCACGCAAAAAACAAAGAACTCCCGTATCACCTTAACAGACTGTTGGGGAAAGTACTGTTAGCGAGCACCTATGAACGGTCGGCACGGTACACGAGGGGGTGGGTGGCCGATACCACGCCCGACCGCCTTTGTCTCCCGAATGGTGATGTTTACACACCGCACTAGGTACTCATTTGAGGCTGAGTCGACCTAGGGGAGGCCCAGGACTGGTTCAGATAATTGTCACTATTGTCGGATGTGAGCGGGAATAAAACTCGGTTCGCTAAGTTCGTACAGCGCAGCGTGCTAACCGTTGGGCTACTGCTCCCCACACACGGATACAAGTGTGTAGGCTCTCAGTCACCATTACAAAGTTGAACAATTTGTTAAAAGTGTCTTAGTATACACGTGGCACCTTCTGGGTTAGATGAGAATTTCTTCTCTCAAGCTCTTGCCACGCACTACCGCGGGCATCTACACATTCGCGAAGATGCCCGCAGGAGTGCACAGCAGCGAGAGCGTGTGCGAGTGAATCAACGCTTAAACCACGGGCCCCAACTTGGATCAGCGCACTGGGATTGAGTGGCTGTGAAAAATCCACGTGCCAAAATTGCTTAGCATGTAAACGTGAATTTGCTTTACACAGAGTCAAGAAGTGGTAAATTTAAATCAAATTAAAGAATTTTCAACCCTTTGTGTCAATAAGCTGCTGGAAGGCCTCCTTATTCTGTCCGGTGATGGGGTACATCACGTATTTATGAAACTCGGCAAAGGCTTTCCTGGGTAAAACAAGCGTTAATAATAGGGGACCAGAAACCATGCACGCACGCTAAATTCATAATCACGCTCCATATAAACTCGGCAGGGAACGCAGCCTAGATACGAGCTCGTGTCTTCTATTGTGCTAAACAATTACCAATGAATTGTCATGATTCAGCTTGTGATTGTCTTGTTAGTCAGTTTTGTTTTTTTCCATTTGCCAAAACCTAACATGTGTGGGCCTATCAATCAATTGCATTCGATGCAGCATTAATTGCCTAACATAAATCAAAAAATTATTGGAGCATGAGTTTACAGTACATCACTGCAAAAAAATAAAATAAAATAAAAATAATCACTGCACTCTCACCTGTATGGCCTGAACTCCTTATTCAACTCCGAAAGTTTGACAAGGTCTTGTTCCACGCGTTCTTCCTCCTCGTCCGCCTTCTCTCCGGGTAATGCAGCACAATCCTCCTCCTTACTCAGAACCTCCCGGCAAAGCTCACCGCAATCAGAGCCGGGTGTGACACCTTCCTGTGGCGGCCCCACTCGACCGACCTCTTGGCACAGTTCCCCGGAAGGTTCGTCTTTTACTGCCAGCCTATCCACCTGTTCAGCCAGTTTGTCATCGTGGTCTTCATCTAGGTCAACTTCACGGCCCAAGTCAGCTTCGTGGCGGCCGTGGTCGAGGTCAAACTGTGTCGTCGGGCCCTTCTCGTCGTCTGAAATGTCGAGATCATCTTCCGGATTTTCTTCCGCTGGTGAAATCCGCGACTCGGCGTTGGGTGGCTCCGTTTCCGAGTCGGACGAGGCTGTGTCGTCGTCTGCCTCGGGCCCGGCCGGGTGAAGGAGCTCATCGTCCTCCTGCAGGTCCTTGGTGTAGCCGCTCGCCGAGATCTCAATGTCCAGGTTGATCTCGCGCCTGCCCGGGCACGCACGCCGGAATTGCGTCACGCGTCAGCGACAAGCATCTCAAAAGTTTCCCGTAAGCAAGTGAAAAACATTTTACGATTACTCCGCAACATTTAAAAATTTGATACGGCGTGTCGCTGGTAGCTGCAAACCAGCAGAATCATAATGAAGCGATGTGATGTTATCAACGTACCCCCCAACAAGTAAACAGGAAGTAACAGGAAGTGATGCATTGAGGTTAATGCACAGGAGTAGTAAGACACTAGAGTCTGCGTTCCTTCAAGGGGGAAACAGCAAAACTACACAAACGCTCTCCTGAAGCGTGCCTAGAAGACCTTCGACACAACAAGCATAGAATAAAATTCATTCGTATTGTTAAGATTACAATAAAATAGCAATGTGTACAACAACGCATTGGAAATGTACGTACGTGATCAAACCAAAAAATGAATTATTCATCGTAACTTTGTTCGCAAAAGTCGACATGTTAAGTGTAATTAGCAAACATTCATTGTAAGAGCTGTCAAAAATACTGTTCCAGCATGAAAAACAAAGACACGTTGAACGGTGCAGGAAAGGAACAGACACACAGAGTGAACGTGAGACTCATGCCACTCTGCATCTATGCATGTAACAAAAATCTTTCGCACCGTACGTAACGAACCATGCTAAATCGTAGGTGCGGGGCTAAGGACATTAAACTATACACAACGAGCCCGGGGTGCCTTCTGACGGGGAGCACGGCAGTGGCAAGTGATACGCACTTTACATCTCTGAAGGTCGGGTAGAGCTCGCTTTCGTAGGCGAAGCGTTTCGCGAAGAAGTCTCTGATGCACTTGACGTCACGGTCAAAGTACCTGCGGAGGGGTGAGGTGCGGTGAGGAGGGGGGAGGAGAAAAGCGCTAATCAGGCACACGCAGCAGGCAACTGTGACGGACGGCGACATTAAATCACTACCAAGCACTGTTAACTTCATGCAATTATAAACATGAGCGTTTAACAGCTATTAAAGAAATGTGTTGATGCTGTCTGACAAATTGTGCCTGTGGTGCAAAGGACAAAAATAGCAATACAACTCAGCACAACTGTCAATAATGGTGTGGCCTTAAAAGGAAAAAATATATACACTAAGCGACGCTTTGGCCAATAACCATTCTTCAATTATTTTTTGCCGCTCCTGGAGTGCAAGGCTATCACGAAGGCGCATTGTCTCACAGCTGATTATCGTCTGCGGTAGCTGAACAAGTGGGGCGACGTTGCCACGTGGCTTTACCCGATGAGGTCATTTTCAAGCTTGATTTGAAGCTTTCGTGACTGCAGGAATTACTTTTTGGTTCTTTAGATAAAGTCACGTAGAAAGAAAATAAATTTAATAATGGAATACGACGTTTCGATTGCAACACAAGAAACTGTCATCAGGTAGAACTAAATTTGAGAGAGAGACAAAACACAGACACGGAGACACACAGACAGACACACAAGCAGAGAGACAACACAGACATATACAGAGAGACACACACAACATAGACACACAGAGACCCAATGCCTCTGTGCCTAGGCCTTAAATAATTAAGGCCTCGACACAGAGGCATTGGGTCTCTGTGTGTCTCTCTCTGTGTCTCTGTGTGTCTCTCTCTCAAATTTAGTTCTACCTAATGACGACTGCTTGTGTTGCAATCGAAACGTCGTACTCTATTATTTAATTTAATTTCTTTCTACGTCACTTTACCGAAAAAACCAAAGAGAGGTCATTTTCCTTTAGTGGAGGAGTTTAAGTACCTTGGGATGATAAGTGGGAGCGGGAGATCGGCCGATGAATCGGTGCACGTCCGCGGTGTTGCGGGCGCTGTACCGTTCCGTGGTAGTGAAGCGGGAGCTGAGTTCTCGAACAAAGCTCGCGGTTTACAGGTCGATCTACGTTCCCACCCTCGCCTATATGGTCATGAGCTTTGGGTAATGACCGAAAGGATGAGGTTGAGGGTACAAAGGGCCGACATTCGGTTTCTCCGCAGGGTTGCCGGGCTCACTCTCCGTGACCGGGTGAGGAGCTCGGTAATCCCGGAGAGCCTCAAGAGTCGAGCCGCTGCTCCTTCGGATCGAGAGGAGCCAGTTGAGGTGGTTCAGGCACCTGGTAAGAATGCCCCCCATTAGACCCCCCCTGGTTCTCTACCGGGCAGCAGCAACGTCCCACTGGGTGAGGACCCCGGGGCCGGCCCAGGACACGCAGGTGGGACTATGTCGCTCGGCTGGCCTGGGAACGCTTGGGAACTCCCCAGAAAGAGCTAGAGTCTGTGCATAGTAGTGTATCATGGAGAGTAGTATAGTGGTATATAGTAGTGTGTAGTAGTGTATAGTAATGTATAAGTGTAGTGTATAGTGTAGTAGTGTATAGTAGTGTATAGTAGTATAGTGTATAGTGGTGTATAGTGTAGTGTATAGTAGTGTATCATGGAGAGTAGTATAGTGGTGTATAGTAGTGTGTAGTAGTGTATAATGTATAGGTAAGTTAGTAGTGTATAGTAGTGTGTAGTAGTGTATAGTAATGTATAAGTGTAGTGTATAGTGTAGTAGTGCATAGTAGTGTAGTGTACAGTAGTGTGTAGTAGTGTGCAGTAGTGTATAGTAATGTATAGTAGTGTAGTGTATAGTAGTGTATGATAATGTATCGTAATGTAGTGTATAGTATTGTATAGTAATGTATAGTAGTGTAGTGTATAGTAGTGTATAGTAATGTACAGCTGAGTCTGTTCCTAGGGAAAGGGAGGTCTGGACCGCCCTACTCAACATGCTGTTGCGGCGACCCTCGCCAGGACAAGCGGATTGAGAAATGAATGAAACAAACAATTTTGACCATGACACAATTTTCCGTGGTAAAATACACCCCAAGTATTTGACCATGATGGCTGCTGAAAAAAGGCCGTTGCTCAAAACGTTGCCTATTATATTTTCATATACAGCCATGAGTCAATGCACTGCTCGACAAAGGCTCTCCCCCATTCCTTCACCAGTCGTGAGGGTATGTTGTGGAAGCCACAGAGGAATGTGGTAAGCGAGTAACAACATTCTGCGGCCAGAACTAAACCCAACGACGCCGACGGTTTTCCGACGGATTGCCAACGGATTTCCGACGGACGCCCGACAGACGCTGACGGATTTCTGACGGATTGCCGACAGACGCCGAGGAATTGCCGACGGGCGCAGATGGACACCGATGGATTGCCGACAGATTTCCGACGGACGCCGACGACGGATGCCGACGTGCGGTAGTCACCACTCGGCATTGGCGTGCGAGGTGGACACCATCTGCGGGAAGTCGATCATGGTGACGCGGTCCCGCTGGTCCAGCATCAGGTTGAACTCGTTGAAGTCGCCGTGGATGAGGCCGTGGTTCGCCAGCCGCACGATCAAATCCATGAGGTCGCTGTAGAGCGCCGCCGGGTCGGCCAGCTCGCGGATCTGGCAGCTGCTCGCGCGGACAAATCAAATAGCGAGCTCGCTATCGCGTAGGTGCCATCTTGCACGAACGACGGGCATCGTCCGCAGTTGTTACCATAGTAGGGCAGTGACGTTGCTACGTGGCTTTACCCACTTAAGTCATTTGCGATGAATTTTCAAAATATAACCGTGACACCGTTTTTCGTGTGTTGTCAACACACCCCGCGGTATTGACCAGGACGTGCTGCTGGGCTTGAACCACGAACCTCTGCGAAGATACCACCACCGAGCACCGCCGCTCGGAAATTTAAATGTGGCATCGCTCGAAGCCAGGCGTGGGAAACTTGTGGCCCATGTGGCGACATGAGGGCGTTCCTCCCACTTCGAAATGGCACGCAAACGATAATTATCCATCACTGCAGCAAGCGCTGTCGCTGAGCGCTTGTCATTGCACGGGCCCGGGAAGAATGATATGCACTGTATTTTCGATTCATACGGGGTTTAATACTTGTACCACGACGTAAACCAAAATAAATATTTGTAGATCGAACCCATTGTGAAACCGGATCGTGACCAGGGATCATAAGAAAACATGAAATCGTCGAAGTGAAACTTTAACGTGTACATGTACGGCCCTTTAACCAATACACCCCGAGACAACGGCTTTCCCACGCCATTCCGGCCAAGGAGGTTTTGTCATCGTAATGCATCACAGCGGTCAGTGCGGGTTGGTGAAACGTAGACCGTAGACATTGGAGCACAATATAAATCGAACAGACTTTGCCACACTGCCGATAACGTAGCCCGGCAGCCGTCTACAACACTTGCTTCTACGCCTAGCGTCACCCATCCAGGCACCATCCAGGCTCAGCCAGGCTCAGCCTCCGAGATCCGACGAGACTGGATGCGTCTCAGACGACTTGGTCACAGGCAAATCTTTACACAGCCATTCAACAGAGCATTGTTGATGTAGGCGTTTGGTAGAAAGCCGACTTCGTCGTTCACACAGCGTAGGCCGATCTCCGTATTGGTGCGCGCGAGCGTGTGAGCGTTGACTTACAGAGGGTAACCGCTGAGCAGTTCCATGATGACCGCGTGTCGGGAAAAGTCGACGGGCTTGGGAACGGGGAAACCACGTTCGTACAACGCCTGCAGCGACATATGATCGTGGGGAGACATCACGGCAGACAGTTATATCACTCTCAGCGGCACGGCATGTCCATCGACTAAGTCTATTACGGCATCCCCTCTCTATTCACCAACTTGCTATCGTTGATTTTAGCTATTCGTAAATCGCATCTGGAACTCTACACGACTGCACTGAGAGAAAATAGATAAGATACAGTGAGGAGATAAAGTGATAAGATGAAGTGATGAGAAATAAAGTGATGACATGAAGCTTATTCAAGTACATATTTAAGGCAATTCATCAAAAAGATTATTTTTCCGTATGCCAATATCATTATCCGCGAAATTAGCTATTCACGAGTATCTCCGGAACGTATCCCTCGCGAATATGGAGGGAATACTGTACTGAACAATCAAACACCACTCATCCCCTTCGTCATAACCACCGACTTAGAACAGAAAATAAAAAAATATAGACATGGGCAAACATTTTGGACGACGATACTTCTTGAATTCTGACGGGCCACAGCCCAAAATGTAAATTTGCTAAATTAAATATATATTCAACTCATAATCGGTGCATCTGACCAAATCATCCAAAATACGACCGATCTCACAGAAGTAGCTCTGTGACATTTGCTTCCATGGGTCGTTCTCTAACACTGAGGGTCGCACTGCTCTGCGAAAGATTCGGATGAATACTTCGTCGCATTAAATGACTCCGATTGTACAATCGGGTATAAAATTAGGAGAGATAAATGACCAAAAAGTAAAAAAAAGCCTATTTATTAATGTAGGTTAACCCTTTCCCGTTGTGAGAAGGATGCAAGTTGCAGGGTGGGTCCCGTTCACGTCTGAATCTCGGAATGCGCAAGCGGCTCATCCTTAGAGTAGCGCCGTTGTTGGTAAAGACGTTGTACTCGCCGCAGAGGACGGTAGCGACACAACCGCCGCACTCAAAATAGCTGGCGCTAAAAAACTGTGCCACACGCCCTCCCGCATGGCCTTGTGGGAACCCCGGTACCAATACAATTACATTGGTCTGGACTTTTGCAGTTGTTTTAGACTAATTTCAGGGTGCTGATTCCAAATCTGATCTCAAATTTGCTCTATCACATCTCATTTTTATGCTATCGGCATACCCCATTTTCATTGATTTTACCCGATATTAACTCGGTCACTTATGATTGCAAGTTGTTGCGAGTCAGTGACTGCTTTAGTGTTAAAATATGGTGCTGTATTTTTAGGATAGTGTGTTTATAATATCATTTTATGTAGATATCCACATTTATTTAATATTTTTCTTCTGCAGTTTTTATTGAAAATGCAATATTTGATATCTCAAAAACCTGATGTGATAGACAAAAACTGATGCCAGATTTGGAATCAGCACCCCAAAATTACCTTAAAATCGTTGGAATACCTTATACCAGAAAAAGTATGTTGACCAGTGTTATTTTACTACATTTTTACTTCCGGTTTTCGTTTTGCCGATGTACGCACACATCATCGGAACGGAATTGGAAGAAAAAAATTACATCAACGGAACGGCAAAAGGGTTAAGACGACAGCCCACGAGAAGGGCGCCGAGTGACAGCCGAGGTTTCGCCGCCCAGTGCTCGTCGCGTGCCGCCGCGTCGCCACCGCTACCTTCATGTAGGCGTACTCCTTCATGGCAGCGAGGCGGGACAGGTAGAGCCAGGAGACGCGCTGCCGGTGCTTGTGGTAGTCTCGCTTGATCTTGAGGTTGCGGAAAGACGTGCGGCCCAGCCGGTGCAGCTTCATGGCCATCTGCTTCTGCTCCTCATTCGCCACGATGTAAATGTCTGGCGATTGTAATGATCGAGATCGAGTTTACGGGGGTCAGGCCACGCGTGGGTGCTTTAGGTGGATTGTTGTGTGACAAGACCGTGCGAGCTGGGCGATAGCTTGGCGAGGCCTTCATCCAGCAGCAAATAGATCATTGCTACATGACGATTACGACAAAATGCTCATTATAGAATCCATCTATTGTTTCACCACCTCACCCCACATTGTTTTTCTTATGCTCACAATACGTACACTTCAACAATTAAAATCCATTCTCAAAGCCATACTTGCCCTGAATCGTGTGCGTGATAACCAACTCTTCTCAATTCGTACGTTTATAGCATCGGTGATTATATATATTCCAGGTGTGAAGATTAGTCCAGCTCCACTGTGCGCCTGGTCAATTTTATTCCGAGGGGTGCGGCGTCCGTACCGGATTCCTTGCCGACTCCGATCTGGTTGCCGATGGAGGCCACGGTGTCCCGCGCCGCCAGCGTTTTCAGCGACAGGTAGTCGTAGCCCGAGAAGGTCAGCCGGTAGCCCTGCACAGCTGACGGCGCACATGCGAGGCGGATGGGGGGGAGACATCGCGCCGTCAAAATCATTCCGATTTTTGGCAATGGGCTCCGACCTAATTACGTAAAGGAATGCGATCGATGTGTACAACCGATTGCGGTGGTGTGGCACTGTGAACACCAAAAGTCAAAAGAGAACAAAGTGAAATGGGCCCTCTCCCCCCGTTGAGGTGTCACTGGTTGGGTTATGAGCTGAGGGTCAGGGTCCCCTTACACCTCCAACTTCCCCGCACCTCCGATTAGCAGTTGGCTACATACGGTGAGAAAAAAGTTAAACACGCATGCATACAAATAGGGGGACGAATAAGTTACAGTCGTGGTTAAGTGGTTTATTATGTTTCATCAAATGGTCAGGCTACGGGCCAGAAGTGACTCGCAAAGGCTCTTCTTCGCGTCTTGCTGAGCTATGGACATACAAATGAGTGACACGATGTCACGTGGATCACCAGCACACGCTAGTGCTACTCCGGCCCGTTATGAACTATAGCTGAAGAGCCCTGACTACGTTGACGAACCCTGCATTCATAGGTGCAGAAGGCTTGAGACCATCCACTTACTAGACTTTGGAATCTGACAGAGCATCAGACCCCCCCCCCCCCCCCCCCGATCAACGCAGCCCTCTCAATAGCTCTATTGCGACGTACATCCTGTGATTCTTCATCGCTGCGCAAGGGCTGCGCTGAGTCAACTCTTGTAACTCAATTTTAACCCACTTCCCAATGTCGTATCGACTGCAAACTTGGTATACGTATGTTATACTGATGACAATACTATATTCTATCATTACAAATAAAAAATAAATATTTTTAAGCAATATTTTTTTTTATATGTTATGTTCCAGCTTGGGTCTAATTGTCCACGCTTAACTCACGTTGGCTGTAAATCACCACAGTCCCTTACGTTATGGCAAGCTTCAGGGCCACTTCTTGGAGTCTTGGGAGTTCTGCCTTTACTCGTACGGGACATTTCATTGAAGCGTGATTTTAAAAAAGTGTTTTAAAATATTACTTTTTCCTCCGCAGAAACGCAAGCGTGCCGCCGATGTCACGCGCAACGAAATCGTCACTAGCCCCTCTGCCCCGAGCCAGACTCAGGTGTCCTGCAAGGTTAGCGTATCACGGTTTGGTTCCGGCTCAGCACGGCAAACGGCACCTGTATACCCAAGGGTCCTACGCTGGCTCGGCTCGGCTGTGCCAGTGGAAAAAATGTGAGAGCGTGCCACGTACTTTTGGCGCGTTCGTAGGCGAGCAGGCGGTGCTTGACGAGCTCCCGCAGGATCTTGTTGGTGCCGCCGTGCTTGAGGTTGGCAATGGAGGTGATGAGGCAGTTGGGCACGATCTCGTGGTTCTTCATGCCCATCTCAACCTGGTGAACACAGCACATCCGTGATTCTTGATACCTCATCTGGTGGGAGGGGTGGGGCTGGGTGGGGGTGGGAGGGGTGGGGCTGGGTGGGAGAGGTGGGGGCTGGGTGGGAGGGGTGGGGGCTGGGTGGGGGTGGGAGGGGTGGGGGCTGGGTGGGAGGAGTGGGGCTGGGTGGGGGGTGGGAGGGGCTGGGTGGGGGTGGGAGGGGTGGGGGCTGGGTGGGGGTGGGAGGGGTGGGGCTGGGTGGGGGGTGGGGCTAGGTAGGGTTGGGTGGGGCTGGGTGGGGAGGGGCTGGTCACCCCGTGGTGCCCTTATAAAACTCAACGTTTAACCTACTCACGCCGGCTTGTGCCCGCCCTCACAGTCGGGCATATTTGCGGAATACACCACGCCGCCGTTGACCCTGCAGGCCATTGACCGAGCAACCCAACGTTCCTACCAGCTCCCTCCGCAGCAGGAATGTGTTACAGTGACGATGTAGACCCGTTGTTGCTGTGGCAGGGAAAGCCACGGTGCAAGAAAGAGGTGGTCTCGGCCGGCAGGTCAAGATGAACTACGGAGCCGCAGTCAAAGTCGGGGAAAACCCGAGGGTGGCACAGCCGCCGTGGAGATGGAGCGATTAAACCCCTACCCCCCACCACTCTGTATAAATTAAACCCCTCTGCTAAAGAGAATAATCCCGGAGCAATGTTGCTCATGGGCGCCGGCGATCATCATCGTCTTGCGAGACGCGTGCACGCATCAACTCACCGCAATCAGAACCCGAAAGTCGTCCCTGGACAGGTATCTTAGCATCGCCGCGTTCAGCTTCCCCATCTTGGCGGCGAGGGGTTAACAGCGGTGTGTTTGTTGTTGTATAATGAGAGTTGTTTACAAGAAGGTAACGAGCAGAGAGAGAGAATATCACTACCACCACCACGAGGCTTCGCGGACGCTTAGACCCCGATTTGATTTCGTAGCGCGGATAGGCGCAGCCGGCGTGGGGGTGGGGGTAGGGGGGGTGGAAGCAAGACGCTCTGTGATTGGTTGGAGGTGAAGTTGAAAGCGCGCGCTGATTGGGTGGTTCGTGCTCAGAGCTGCCACGCCCCCCCTCCCCCCGCGCCTCTGATTATCGTTCATATCGATCTAAGATCGCGTAGAATATTAAAGGGTAAAAGCTATGTTCTATGGTTATTTGGGTAAAGTCACGTAGATTAAAAAAAATAAAAAATAGAAATAAAGTAATTAAAAAAGGGTGAAAGCTCCACCTTATTCTTTTTTTATACTTTGAGACTGACAAAAAAAGTTAATATCCCGTGATACAGCTGCTCACCCCGAGATATAAATGCTCTGATCCGTGCATTGTCGTTGTACCAAGGCCGTAATTATAATATATATATTGGGGGGGGGGGCACATCCCCCCCCCCCCAAATATATTGCAAAAAAAATTGCTATGCTATGTAAATAAAAACAACAATTTGCTAAACCTTGGCCACAATATCTGGACTTGTCTTCATATAAATCCATACATAGATTTCTGTTTATATGATTGTGGTTATGGTTGTACTTTATTCATCCCTAATCTCTGCCATTACATACAATGAAACAAGAAATAAAAATTACATCCCATGTGTTAGTGATTTTTTTTATATTTTAGACAGGAAATTAGTTTTCAAGTTTTTGTGACTTCATATTTGAGGGGGGGGTCTGACTTTTTGTGACACCGTGTGACCGGGGAAGGGGGGGTAAAAAAATCGTCCAAAATCGCGTGACGTCATTTATGGACGGCCCCTAAGCCACTTCTCGTTGAGATATCATTTGTGTTAGCCAGGAAGCTTCTGAAAAACAAGCTAATAATGAGCTCACTGGGTACAATAAAAAGTTTCGTTTCAGGACGAGTCTCATTTGCATGTGAAGAAACAAAGGACACGTGGTGGCGCTGTTGGACACCTTTTTGAACTCCACTACCGCATTGTTATTTAAACATTTTTACACGCGCATACCTGACGAAACTTGCCAAGGTTAAGTAGTCACCGTTGGCCCAACAATGCCATAATTTCTGGGTGACAGGGGTGATTACAATGCATCCATTAAAATTTTAATATTGGATTTATTTATTTTTTGCAACACGGTACGTGCATCGAATTGCATGCGCAAGAATTGTTTTCGATTTGTTTGTATTCGGTGGTCGAGACTAACGACGGAGTGACAGCCAACGGAGGCAAACGCTCCAGGGACGACGTCAGCCGAGGAGATGGAGCGACAGATTCGGATCGTGTGCAGTTTCTAGACGGGTTGTTCGCATTGCGAGACCGAGGTGACGATGGCTTGTGCAAGTCTTCATCCAGTAGTGGATAGATCATAGCCAATCTTATTTGACAGACAACCATCACAGTTTTACCATGTTTAGTGGTGGTCTCCCTGTCACAGGTTGAGTCACAAACCGCACCTCTCCATAACAAAGGCTCAGCCTTTGTTATGCAGTCTATTCTTAGTCTTAAGCCTCACCTTACCATATTAATAAAAAGTATGCGGCCCTTGCCCCACCACCTTCTCCAACCATTATATAAACGGAGTGGTAGCTTCTGCAATCTCTCATTTACTTGATACAGCTGTCGTTGCTGTGACGGTACCACCTGAAGACGGAAGCTTGTGTTGCCTCCGAAACGTCGTGATTTTTATTTTATTTTACTTTTTAATGTTTTTACCTACGTGACTTTACCGAAAAAACCTAAGAATATGAATCATTGCAGTCACGAAAGCTTCAAATCTAGAATTAGATCATAGCTGATGATATTTTTGCTGTTTAAGGGACTCGATTCCCACTCACGGACCAACAGCAGTGACGACTATATGACCAGTCCTAGGGCTCTCACTCTAGGTCGACTGAGTCTTTAAATGAGTACCTGGTGTGGTGTGTAAACATCGCCACTATGGGGAGACAAAGGCGGTCGGGCGTGGCGCTGGCCAGCTCACGGCCTCGTGTGCCGTGCCGGCCTTCATAGGTTTGCTCCTCGCTAACGGCACTTGCCCCAACAGTCTATAAAGGTTAGGGGCCGTCCATAAATGACGTCACTCACCTGGGGGGGGGGGGGGGTCAGACATTTGTGACGATGTGGGACAAGGGGCGGGGGTTGAGAAATGTGACGTCACATCACAATGCGCAACTTTAAATAAATATAGACAACACGTTCTACTTAATTAAATAGACTTTTTTATACATGTTTTCTCCTACAACAGCAGAGTGCAGCGGCACATTAAATACGCACTACAATGACAATTGTTTAAAGCGATTTGAAGCATTAATTCTAGATTAGAAGTTTTCGTGACGACAAATATTCATACTCTTTGTTTTTTTCGGTAAAGTCACGTAGGTAAAAAAATAAAATTTGTTTAAGTAAATAACATTTTCATTTATTTACATTTTTTACCTACGTGACTTTACCGAAAACACAAAAGAGTACGATTTGAAGCATGTTTTATTTTTTTGTGAGGGGTGGGGGGCAGAGCTTTGTGACGTCATATTTGAGGGGGGGGGGTCTGACTTTTTGTGACGCCGTGTGACGAGGGGGGGGGGGGGGTCAAAAATCGTCCAAAATCGCGTGACATCATTTATGGAACGGCCCCTTATACGGAGGGGGGATCTTTGTCTTTGGTGGCAAAGTGAAAGTTTCTTACGACGCCTGCATCCACGAGAGGCCACGACATTCACTGCAACTTTAAAAAGAAAAGATATCGCTCCAATAATAAATGGTATTTTTTAATATTCATAATGTATATATACCGTTGGGATGCAAACATACATTTTCCATTTTAAAATAACGCATGCAAAAACATGTTAATATTGTATGGGAACATTACATATTTCATTAATGTTCCAATTATAACATGCATTTTTACATAATTTAAGTAGTCAATGTAATTTGATGTATAATTTGTTGTATATTGCGGTGTGGGTAAAGCATTTTTTTAAAATATTTAATTTACACTCCAAACATTTTTGGAGTTAACATTTAAGGATAGCTACTAAATATAGAGGCATGGTAGGAACCTCCTGGTTACACCAGCCCACAGGGGATTATTGTGTCCGTCCGTCGTGCATCCAAAAATTGGAGGGGTGGGGCTGGGTGGAGAGGGGAGGGTGGGGAGGGGCTTCGTGGGGAGGGTGGGGCTGGGTGGGGGGTGGGAGGGGTGGGGCTGGGTGGGGAGGGGCTGGTCACCCCGTGGTGCCCTTATAAAACTCAACGTTTAACCTACTTACGCCGGCTTGTGCCTGCCCTCACAGTCGGCCATATTTGCGGAATACACCACGCCGCCGTTGACCCTGGCCATTGACCGAACAACCCGACGTTCCTACCAGTTCCCTCCGCAGGAATGTGTTTCCCCCTGACTTGTAATTAAACTGTGCATATGCTTACTACAATAATCTCATCCGTCCAGTCGTGGAATGGCTGTATCACCAAACCTGGCTCAGGAGACATCGATGAAAGCTAGGTTTTCTCCTCTCTGCCACAGCATCTGTAACTCCGAATAATTAACCCATTCCTGCTGCGGAGGGAGCTGGTAGGAACGTTGGGTTGCTCGGTCAATGGCCAGGGTCAACGGCGGCGTGGTGTATTCCGCAAATATGGCCGACTGTGAGGGCAGGCACAAGCCGGCGTAAGTAGGTTAAACGTTGAGTTTTATAAGGGCACCACGGGGTGACCAGCCCCTTCCCACCCAGCCCCACCCCTCCCACCCCCCACCCAGCCCCACCCTTCCCACCCAGCCCCTCCCCACCCTCCCCACCCAGCCCCTCCCCACCCAGCCCCCCCCCACCCTCCCCACCCAGCCCCACCCCTCCCACCCCCCACCCAGCCCCATCCTCCCCACCCAGCCCCTCCCCACCCAGCCCCTCCCCACCCTCCCCACCCAGCCCCTCCCCACCCTCCCCTCCCCACCCTCCCCACCCAGCCCCACCCCTGAAGGACGACCGCTTGTGTTGCGTTATTTTCTTTGAACTCCCAAGACGCGACCTTCGGCTATGACGACAGAAAATAGAAACTGTGCAGCCCCCGACTTGACTTCACAGAGTGGAGAACTTCATCAAGATTCTCTAGCTATGTGGATGTGCAGCAGTTTTAATCTAATTCCTCTTTTATTTTTCCACCGCACATGCGATCCAGCCTAGCGCGAGGTTGTTTCTTCACTGCAGAAGTCGACCCGTGCCGACGACGTCACATACCGAATGAGCCGAGTCGCGCGTGCATGCCAATGCGTGACTAAACATTTCGCATTTCCTGAAGCGTGCACTTTAAACCCCGCCTCTGGCCCTGCTTGGCCCCAGACGCCAGAGTTTTCTGAGTTTGGCCCAGCTCTGGTCGGCAAACAGCCAGTGGAAAACCACCCATACTGTGCACGCCCCTCGTCGGCACGGCCCAGATGTGACGGCGTAACAAAGGGGGCATTAGAAACTGTTTGGCGGGGAGACTGTGTACTGTGGGAGGAGAGGAGGCCCCCGCATCTGGACCTGCGGAGGAGGGGGCCCACATCCCGCGCGGGGGAGGCGGTGGGGGTCCACGAGGGACGCCGAAGGGAGGCGGCCGTGGCGAGGGGGGGGGGGTGCCCGAATCGCATGGGCAGCATGTGGTGGTGGGGTGGGGGGGGGGGCTCTCATGTTTGTAGGAGTGGGGCCTGGGGGCCAAAGGTCGCAACCGGGTACCCGATACCCGTACCCTACCCGATACCCGGCTACCCGTACCCGTACCCGGCCGGGTACGGGTACCCATTTCCGACCCTGGTGCGGCCGGGTACGGGTAAGGAATCAAAACCCGTTTGCGACCTTTGCTGGGGGCACAAACACAGACGATGCGTTGGGTCAGACGGTGGCGCATGCGACACAGGAGACGTGCGGGACGGTGCCAAGCGACACGCGTGACGAGCGAGACGCAGGCGAACGCGACACCGACTTGAGCACCGTGCAGTTTG